ACCGAGCGAGCTCTGAAGCTCCGCAACACCATTGAGAACATTGGTGAATTCATTAATAGAAATCTTGGTGGAGGGGCATCTATGGCCTCCCTTGAGACGCGTCTATGGTAAGTCTACTTGTCAGCTCGAGTGTTCCAGTTACTAACCTTTCTTAGGGATTACGTCTCTGTCAATTACTGGCCTAACAAGGAGGCTAGCGGGTCCAAACTCCAGCAAATGTTCAAGAAGGTCCAGGAACTCAGCAAGAACAAACCTTCCAACGGAGCATGATGCAGAGAGGATCCGCTTGTCGCGATGTCCGCGGCTGAAATTACCTTTTGAATCTCTGATTCACGGGCCTACGACATAAATATGGAGCATTTTGGCTTTAGTCCTAGATAACAGGATACCTGGGTTCCTTGATCCCTCCCCCTCGGTTACCTCTCAGAACCTCTCCCCTGTCACTGAGACGAAACTTCAAGAGATCAATTGACGATAATTGAAAGTACATACGGATGCAACGAGTTGCATGGCATTTTGAAAGGCGTCGTTATGAATCGCGCAACCCAAAAATTTCCAGCACAGAAAGGAGACCCTCCGACTTGAATATGATTCAATCAGACGATATTTGCATGGCGTGCTTGGGGTTCTTTTTGCTTTGGAGTTTGTCCATTTCATATTCATATCTTTCTCCTTGGCGGATCGCGCTGTACCTGGATCTTGATCTTTTTGGCCGCAAAAAGGTCAGCATGGGGTTAGCTGGATCTGCCCTTTTCTAATTCTTGTTTCTTTTTACCCTTGGCATGCTTGCATCACTGTGGTGCGGCTGGCGGTGCAGCTGGCATTTTTTTTTCTTGTCTCCTTTCATTTCTCTTTTCTTTTTGAAGCACATGTACCCTATGGAGTGGCTACCACGGCGTCGATTGATGTTTCTGTATCTGACAAGATCATTCACCTGGGAGCTCGTTCGTGATGTCCTTTTGCAACTAAGAACGAATGAATGAATCCCTCTGGGGGATTCTCATTGGGTCTCAAACTGAGTCTGATCTACCGTACACTAGGATTAATGCCCTTGAGTTTCTACAGTAAAGCTACAAATACAATCTTAGGCTTTATGTGAAATCATTAATATTGACAATGCCAGCAAGCCTGGAGTAGGCGGGAAAGGCATCCTGGTTCCAAGCAGCAAGCACACCCAGATGAAAACGAGCTATTCGTACAATTGATATCCCACTCCCCTCACCCGTTACCTTTTCAACCATGATGGAAACAGACCCAAAGCTCTAACTCCATTCACACCATAAGAAAAATCCCCCGAAATAAAAAGATATGGCAGAAACGCCAAAGCACATAAGGTGATGCAGTCTTGGCTCAATGCATTCAAGCAGCAGTATTAACATCAGCCGACTCGGCAGCTCTAGCCTGCATCTGCTCCTGCTCCTGCTGATTCCTAAACTGCTGCTGTTGCTGCTGTAACTTCTGCAAACTCGTAGACAAATTCGTCGTCGGCACAGCAGGACCACCGATATCCCCAACAATCGCGCTGAACAGCCTCAACTCGCCATCGATAACATCATCAAAGACTGCCTCCTTCTCACGCCAAGACTGCTCGCGCTTCGGCCGGATATCATCCCACTCGGCGCGCAGCTGTGCGGACTCCTTTTCAGCCCAGTTAATCTGTCGCCGCAGCAGACGGTACAGATCGTGAGGGTGCATAGCCAGCTCATGATCGTCGAAGCCGAGCTCGGGACCATACTCGGGCATTGTTGAGTCTTCTTCATCGGCGACGGATGTGGATAGGATGGATTCGTGGGCCTCGGACTCGGCACCGGGTTCTTTGGGCGGATGCGAGAGCTTCAGACGGATGCGCTGTAGCTTCGAGGCTGGAGTTCCTGCGACACTTCCGAGGACCGCGTTTGTCTTGGAATCGGATGGGCGCAGGGTATCTGTTTCGTGAACGGAGCGCATATGCTTTGTCAATGCGTCGGAGCGGGTGAAGTTACGGTCACATTCTGGGTGAGGGTTAGCAATTACGTTGCCCTTGGATCACGCGTAAGTTGGGCTATTGACGTACCGGGAAGAGTGCAGTAGAAAGGCTTCTCTCGAGTGTGACTTCGCATGTGGGCACGGAGTGCATATGCAGAAGCGTGCGTTTGGCCTTTACGGGAGCAGTCGGTCCACTCGCACGAGTACCGCTTCTGTCGGCTGCCGATGTGTTCGTTGTGGATGTGTTGGACTAGGCCATCCATATTGCCGAGATCGCCTGCGCTGCATCCATCCCACCGACATATGGTGACTTGGTCGGTGCTTTGGCCAGTGTAATCGTCGTCTTGGTTGTTACCCAGGACACCCTGGAGGCTGGGTTCGTTCGGGACGTCGCCGGAGCTGTCGGAGGAGATAGAGGCTGTGGGGGAGGGTGGAGGGACTTCATCTTGAACCGAAGATAGAGGAGTTTGTCGATCCCATGAAGCGACGCCTGTGCGCCTGCGCTTGGATGGAGGCATGTTGGATCCTGTTGGTGACTGGGCGCGGCTTTCGTGCTTGATGGACTCGTGGTCTGACTCTTCGGCAAAGCCGACAGAGGAAAGAGGGGAAGCGTCTCGAGAAGCCATGGTGAGATTCTTTGATCTCGATTTCTTTGAAGTCAAGGCACCGGGGTGATTTGGTTGTTATCGGCGCATCGACCTCAAGGGTGAGGCGTTTACTTTCATGCCATCACGTGACGTGGAGCTACCCCCAACTCGCGCTTTTCTTTTTCCCTCGTTTTGCTTTCGCACACATATTGGTTTTGTGGCCTATCTTGACAACATGCAATCTGTACTAACTTCACAGACAATTGGCTTCGTGAATCAACTATGGTAAGCTCTATCCTTTGTTTTCCCTATTCATCAATGCATAAGATGAACAACAAAGAAGAGTTCTGCAATTCTGATAATCTCCGTGCATTTGTTTCGGCCTATGCTCCGTGAGATTGACTGTTGATTTTTCTACACTTGATCTGACTGCAATCAATATGACATTCTATCATCATTATGATGCTTTGATCTGAAGCTAACTGTCATAGTATCTAATTTAGAGAATCCCCTAGTAACGGGGCCCCGCGACCGTGTGCTTCTTAAGGATCGCATCAACCTCTGCCAGCTCCTCATCAGAGAGCACCTGCACACCTCCCATATTCTGAACGAGCTTATCGACCGTGGTGCCTCCAGGAATGGGAATAATGGTGGGCATGCCGGGCTTTCCGCTCAAGCTGCGAACCCAAGCCAAAGCAATCTGAGCCGGAGCGACTCCCTTGCGAGATGCAAGGCTCTGGACTTCATTGATCAGCTTGAGGTTGTGCTGGAAGTTCTCTTCTTGGAAGCGGGACATGTGTCGTCGGATGTCGCCCTCGGGCAGGTCGGACAGAGAGTTCACGGCACCGGTCAAGACACCTCGGCCCAGAGGCGAGTAGGCAATGACGGGGATGTTGAGCTCGGCGCAGGTCTTGGCGATATCATTCTCGAGGATGTCCGTTGACCACAGCGACATCTCGACCTCGACGGCGGCGATAGGGTGCACCTTGGCTCTAGAGTAGTAGTTAGCATGAATTTCCGCAATCCATTCCACATCTCAGAACATACGCTCGTCGGATCGTCTCCGCATCCACCTCACTTAATCCAATTCCTCCAATCTTGCCCTCCTTCACTAATTCGGCAAGAACTTCGATCGTGCGCTCGACGGGGAAGTTGGGGTCCTGGCGCGCACACTCGAAGATATCAATCTTCTTCTTGCCGTCCAGTAGACGGACGCAATTGTCCACACTGCGACGGATATTCTCTTCCGAGCCATCCGGGCCGAGCTGGCCGACCTTAAGACCACCCTTGACGCTGAGAACAACCTTGTCGGCGTTCTCAGGGTACTTGGTGAAGTATTTGTTCAACAGGTGCATCGAGTTGTACTCCGGTGTACCGTACAGCTCGCCGCCATTCCAGAAATTGGCACCCAGCTCTAGAGTCTTGTTTAAGGTCTCAAAGCACACTTCTTGCGCCGGTGGCTGAGCTTGCCATGTCATTCCTTGAGATCATATTAGCGCATTCACTCAAATCGTGGAGGGGTAGTCATACTCATCGTGCCGTAGCCGGTGGCTCCGACTTCCTTTCCGACGAGAGTAGGCATTGTGTGAATAGGTGGTTCGAATCGAGTAGAGTGATAGTAATATTATCCGGTGTTGCTGAAGCAGAGTGGTTGATGAAGTTCGAGCTTTGCGCCGGAGGGGCCTTTTATACGGTTGTTACCTTTAGTCGAGTCCCACAGAGTGCCATGGCTCCTCGTTAACCCCGATCCCCTTCTACCAACCTTGACACCGTCGATCTCGCGCTTAGTCGGCTAAAGTATAATTACATAAAAGCTTCTTAGTGGTTCTTTAGGTATTTTCCAGGAGCTATGATCGGTCTCCGAACCATAGCCGGGGATAAGCGCATATGCAGCCAGAGAAAACTGGAAGGCCACCGGAGTTAAGATGGCGCTTACCGAGACCCCTTACCACCGATCGGCCATCCCCATTCCATGGGCGTAAGTTTGCGAATGACGAAGAACAAGTTACTGCGGATCAAGGAGATAACGTAAATGTGAGGTGATAATTGATTATGTTTAAGTTCTTCAGAACAGAAACTGTCATTTCTCGGATGTGGGTAAGTTCTGTCTAAACAAGAATCACTGCTCAAAAAGGCATTACTATCAAACAAGCTGCTCATGCTAGCCTCAGCTTTGAACAAGATGCGTTTCAAAACGCTGCTGATAGAGTACGTAACTTATTAGACGTGGATCTTTTGGATGTTCTTCAGCCCTTGTACTTATTGAAGATAAACATGCATAGAATGCTTATGATGAAGAGAGTACGGAAGGGCTTCTTCAAAGTTGAAGTACTTGGGAAAGATAGGAGCGCGTCACCGATAGTTGAGGAGGAAATGAGTCCGAAAAGGTATAAGAGGTAATTCATATAAGAGGTAATTCATTATAGGGAACATGAAATCTAAAATTCATCACAGCAGAGCAACCACGGCAGCAGCAACCATAGGAGCGGCCGTAATCAAAGCGCCCACAGGTCCAGCGGCAGCAGCACCGGTTTGAGTGGCCGCAGAAGCTGTAGTAGTTGCGGCCGAAGTATGGGTCGCCTCGAATTCCGTGATAGACTTCAACCCCGCGGTAACCGTCAACTGATAGTATGATTCAGCCATTGGGGCTGTAGAATAGGTCGCCGATGTGGTAGAGGAGTAGGCAGTCTTTCCACCGTCATTTGAGCCGGTCTCGCCGACACTCATGGTGCAGCGGGCTGACATGGTTGAAGATTGCAAAGAGCACTCATAGGACTCAGTGACGGTAATCTCGTAGCTGCTTGATTTGTCTGAGGTGGATGCGATATATACGCCGCTGAAGCTCACTGTCTCCGGGCCCTGGACAATTGTCCACGAATGGGGATAGTTGCAGTCTGTCTTGGGGGCGCCCTTTATGCAGCCGACGTGGTATGTGGCGGCGTCAGTGTTGATAGCGACGAGGCTGGCGGCAGTGCTTGTCCAACCGCCGTACTGGAGGAGACCCTGATCCCAAGAAGGAGAGAAGTAGCCAATGACCATGCTACTGACATCATCAGCGTGTGCACCGAGCGTAGCAAGGGCGGCAGCGAGGAAACCAGAGGTACGCATGTTGATGGTAGGGGGGAATGCAAAGAAGTGTAGATGAGGGTACGCGATGCAGCGGACAAATGCGTCCCTTTATATGAAAAGAAAGCTAGCTCCTTATTCTACGAATTATCCATCAAAGTGTTTGAGCCTAGCTGCGAGCCAAGCCACCAAAGTGAATATAATTCGCTTGATTGGACATGTCTTGGAGTGCTGCCTCTTGAGCCTCTGAAGTTTGGAACTAAATTCCCTGTTAGTGGCATTTGCTAGCCTCACGGGGATAGTTATTCTCGCTAATTCGCTGAAAGACTGCGCATTGCAGAAGCGAAGTATCGAGTCACGGTACTAGGCTTTTTTGAGCGTTAGCCTGAACCACGGACTCCCCAGATAGGCCGGCAATACTGCTAGTTGGTGGAGTCATTAATCCCTAATAGTCCAAAGCGGGGGAAAAATACCCTAAGCGATCTATCAACCCCGAGATGATTTGGGGGCTTAAAAACATGGGCATTTAGGCTTGAGCGTAGGCGTGGAAAATCTCAAATCGGGCTGAGTCCCTTTGTTCCTTCACACTTCGCTTTTGTAACGAATTTGCGGAAGTTCGAGCGCAATTCGGAAGACATCAGCATTGGCAACGGCTGCATCTGTTTATACCGAGCACACCAGGATCTTGATGGTTGTTGATTTCGTTAATTTGCAGAACTGACTAGTGCGTTGTACTAAGCACAAGCGCTGTTTAGATTCTCACGAGGGTCACCTTTCTCCTTTCACACGGGGACCTTTGCTTGTTGACTAAACAGAAGCCTCTTGAAAATAAAGCCGCACCAGGAACCCTGAAAATTGATCTGAAAATTGGTCATGGCAAAGCCCGGGCCTACTTAAACCTTTAAAAAGGTGACAAATAATGCCTCGAAAGAGGTAGAGCAGAGCTGAGATAAGAAAATACTCGAGAACACCCTATTGTATCCGCGGTCAGGCTGTAGAATTGCAAAATTGTCCTATGGCATTCACCGTCATCTAGAAAGAAAACATTCGATATACTAATACAGCTATAAAGATCATCACATAATAAAAATCATACAAGTTCGTTCCAGAGTCTCCCCGTTTTGATAGTAAACCAGGATGCTTCTCATCCCAAGAACCCAAGCTCAGCAGCGAAATCGTCAGAGTTAGGGTCGCTTTCTAAAACTCGCTTATTCGAGTCAGTGTCGTCTCCCAGTCCCCGTTCATCAGAGCTGTCGATCATATTGCGGAATCGGTGATCCAGCTCTTTGGCAACTGCATCGAAGATAACAGGCAGGTCGGAGGCTTGGAGTTTATTGCCTCCAGTATATCCAGATCCGATCTGGATATTCTCAATGGCCTTGGTATCTCCATGGCGGATGTTGGTGGTGTACATGGCAGGTTGAGTAATCGTAGTCTTAGTTGCGCTGCTAGTTGGCGTTCCCGTTGTCTTGACGTTTGCAGGCTTGTCTTGCTTGCCTGTCATGTCGGTAGAAGCCAGAGTAGGGGAAGGAGTCTCGGAAGTATGCGGGTCTTCGACACCTAGCAGGCCAAAGATGTCGGCAAGGTAGTGTTCAGTATCGGGAATAAGCCTCTATGTGTATGTTAGAAATGGTCTGTTGTGTTTGTGTTTGTAAACGTACGGGGTCGCGAGGCTGAATATTCGTTACAGGCTGGACCTGGGTCGCAGTGGCCGACTCTTGGATTGGGTGCGCGTAAACCAAGGCGACTGGTAGCAAAGCCAACACAGCAATCGCAGCCCACGCGAACCTGGGAGAAAGCAAAGACATATTGGGTGAGTTGGTGTGTGAGGTCGGATGTCTCTGGTAAGGATTCAAGTGCCGGATGTAATGACGAGAGAAATCACACTACACGCGCCTGAGAAGAAATTTTCAACACGCGAGGGTGATCCATGATTCACCAGTGAATCATAGGCCTTATATTATCTGTGGGGATGGAGAATCTTGCAGTGATGTGGAATGAGGGCTGGTATACAAATGCCAGCCTTCGCATACTTTGACGACGTTCCCGCGACAGCCCCTCAATTCACCAGCCATCATAAAGATGGCTTGGTCCCCCGCTATTGCTTCCAACGTTCTTTTTTCAATTGGTTTTAACAAAGCGAGGTGTTTTCCAGCGACAATGGCCGGTGATGGCGTTCTGGGGCGGATCCAGGGATGTTTTGGCTGGATGTGGATCCCCTGGAATGGCAGGTCAACATTCCAGCCACTTGACCCTCCGCGAATTGGAACAACGATAAAGATATCACAATGACAATGCCATGTAAGCATAAAGTGAACGTCCCTTGGAAAGAAGTGATCCGAGCAGACCGGGAATGATGGGGTGACACTCTTCTCCTACCGTGCATGACGCGGTTCTGAGAAGAGATAAGATGGTTAGTCACCACGACGATCGTCGCCATCCAGATCCGATGCCTGGCCATCATGTTGTCTTCATAAGACGACAAGCCTAACTTATCCCCCGGGTAGAGGCTAAAGGCTCGCTTAGAGTAGTTGCCGTCTCGGTTCCGGCCCCAACGTCCATGGTCTTGTGAGGAGGCCAGAGCCTTGCAGATTTGTAGCGACATTGCTTTTCAACGTCTTGGGCTTGACCTTGAAGATAATTGTGAGTTCACACATCCAGAAGTTAGATGAAAATGTCGCAGGTGCGGCGTAGTTATTCTAAATTTGCGGCCTTCCATTCTCTTCAATCTAACGGAAGAACAAAAAAAAACCCCCCATTTAGAAAGACGTGTGAGACAAGAGACTGTTTATGACATTAAAGAAGGATATCGGTAGCTAAGCTAACCGTTTCGTAATTATTTAAACAAAACCACAGACTGGGTATAGAGACAACCTTGGAGACAATTGTCCAGATAATTTCTCGTTACAATACCAAAGAGCTATTGGGGTTCACGTTTAGGCGACTAACCTCGCACACTCGCCTTCTCATACTCCACATCGAACTTTTGAATAACGTTGATCCCGTAAGGACTCGCATTAGAGGCTAAGCGCTGCTCCTCCGAGCTGACGGACTCAACATCGGCATTAGCGGTTTTTGAAGAGTCAAAGCTGTGACCAACGTTGACCGTGTGCGTCTTCGTGTCCAACGGATCCATGCTATAAGTACCATTGTTCTCTGAATGCCCAAGTCGGTCGAAGGTCCTTCCAGAGGAAACACCGGGCCCATACTTCCGGTCAGCAGAGGATCCCATAGCAGGAGCAAAAGCGGCAATGATTGTTTTGAAGAATGGCATGTTGGCGCAGATAATGGCTAGTTGAGGCTCCAGTACAGTCCACATGATAGGGTCGAGCAGGGTGTATGTTGGATCGTCAAAGTTCAGTTTGTAAATAGAGATGAGACGGATGATACTGATGACAGAGATTCTATACACAATAGGTTGTCAGTAATCTTGGGGACTGGTTCATGTGATCAATGATCTTTGAGACGTACACAATCCCCACACCAAACACAGAGGTAAGACCAATTTTTTTCTGCACGTTGAGCTTCAACTTCCAGACGTGCGGCAGAGGCAGTGCAATGACCATAATATCGGTAACGACGTTCATGATACCAGCCACCATGAAAGCTGCCGGACGGTTGCCGCAAGTTCCCCCAACAGATGTGTCCCAGTTATAGGGAAACGGCCGACAGAGTAAGAAGGCTTCGAGGATGATACTGGTTACCCATGCCCAGACAACGAACATGGCCACGATGACCCCGGTTTTGAAGCCGTCTTTTGTTCCGAAGATGCGGACCATGAATAGAGCGATTGAAGTTTTGACGAGTCCGAGGGAAGTACCGTAGATAAATTCGATAGATAAGAGCGACTATCATACTGATTAGCAAAGGTAGACACCAATCTCTCAATATGCCTCCTGGGCTGGAAATCTACCTTCATCGCTATGACGATCGACTCGCGCGGCAGATCCTCTATGTGGAGACCCATACCCCCATACTTGGTCACTGGGTCCCTATTAGAATGTGGATTCTTGGGAGGGGAACGGAAGAGCGATCTTACTGATGTAGAGCAAGGACAGAGCGCCGTACATCAACAACTATGATGGAAGTCAGCAAGATGACCATCAAACGTTTCGATAGATGAGGATGACTGACCACTCCAAACAGGAGGAAAAACTCGGAGATCCCGGGCTTTAGTCCCTTCAAGTGCATTGCATATAGGCGCAGAGCAGTGGAAAGAGTCGCCAGAACGCCGAACACTGTTGCCGCGATAAGCGGTCCCTGGATGTACGCCGGACTGATGCTGTATGTCACAACCATGATAATAAATTTCCTTGCATAGACCAGGGCTGAAGAAGGTTTTTACAATCCTGCAGGAAACAGGAGAGCCAGGTTCCTCATATATACCCGGCAATTGTTGGCGAATTAGCTCAAGTGTCAAAGCAATTGAGGTAGAGGCTACATACTCCGTGGAGACTAGACGCTATTAGATCCACATGCCTCGTATCATAATCGCGGCTTGACCTGTGAAACTGGTTGTACCGGCGTCTGCAGTGAGCCTAAAGCCTGACTCAAAATTGAGCACTTCTGATAGTCGTCCACACGCCCGTCTGACAATTCCCAACAAGCCCGATTTTCTGAAACAGATATGTTGACGATCGTATTCGGCTCTCGTATACGTGGTGGCGTCTTGAAATCTTAAGACTCGGCCTTGAGCCGATGTTAGAGTAAGCCCTAATCTACTAAAAGTGCAAAGTGGGGGCTCGCAGAATTGTAGAAGAAGTACCCAGATCGACGATCGATCTTCTGGGGCCTAGAAGTAGGAGAGAGACTAGCACACAAAAATCAGACAAGATTAAGTGACAGTGGCTCTAGATATGAATGGAATCGATCCTCCAGCCTGACAGAATTGATGAGTGGTGATCCCGCGGTTCCACGAGGCCAAGAGACTTTTGCTAAGCGGGGGCATAATAATTCAATCTCAGGGGGCGTCGCCAGATCGACCCAATTTGATGGCGTGCCTGGAAGTTTAAACATTCCCGAGTGGGGGCCAGGACGAGGCTTCCTCTCATGGACTGCGGCTTACTTGGCACTCGGCGACTTGAGCGACCTGATCGTCTTCCGCGATGCGGTCCATGTGTTTAGCAATCATACGCCTCAAGGAACACATAGTTTGTGACTTCAATGAAGGCGCAACCTTGGAGAGAAAGACCAGTTACCTAGGGAGGTAAGCTGAAGGCCTTTGTGTCGCATCTATATATACCACGCGTGAGGTAATCAAGCCTAATCAAATTAGTCCCAACCCACCTAGGCATTGAGTTTAAGGTCCAGATGCCCCTAACTAATGCATGCGTCAGAAGCGCCCTAAATTTCGGCTCCGTGACTAAACCATTCACCGTATTGGGCCAAGGACACGAGAAAGCTAGGGAGACTCTTGACAAAGGCCAAATCCACCCGGAGAATACCTCTAGGTCACGGACTTTCACCGCGCCGTGGATCTCACTGGCCATCTTGGGACAGTCATGTGATCACGCGCCACTCTGGAACGCGGCTACAACTGAGATCGGAAGGCCCCACCTTGAGGCACCTCTACGAGTGAACCTCCAGGGACCAGGTAGGCATTGTCAAGATGGCTTTCAATTGGAGAGTCATCAAGCCCTATCTACCTCGAATACGATTCCTCACAGTTCATTATGCCTACTTCATCGGAGTGTCTCTCGTCACCTCCGCTATATTCTGGGGTAGCTCCACTCCGGCCCATAGCGTACGATACATTGACTCGTTGTTCTTGACAGTCAGCGCCATGACACTCGCTGGCCTGAACACAGTCAACCTATCTACACTAAACACCTTCCAGCAGATCTTGCTCTTTTTTCTGATCATGGCCGGGTCTACGGTAAAAAGCATCCCTTTATTCGACCAGGCAACAGCCTAGCTCACTTTTGGACCGAAGAGCTCATATTGTATAGATCTGGGTCTCGATTGGAGTGGTCGCAGTCCGCAAAAGAATCTTCGAAAAGAGGTTCAAAGAAATCGTGCAAGAAGAAACTCTCCGGAGAAAGAGGCTCCGCAAAACGACTAGTCTTGCCCGGCGAATTACCTGGCCGCGATCTATATCGCGGCAATCGACAATTTCGGAGGATCCAGACTTACAGACAGATCGCCGACGGCCTTCAATTATCTCTCTTCGGTCCATCGGCCCACGGATCAAGAGCCAGGGCCAGATTCCAACTGATTCAGCTCACGACAGACCATCTGACCAGCAAGCTGAAGACATTCACCCCACGACTAGACATGACAGTGAATCCGTAGTCTCTGGCGATAGATTACCGTATCGACGCTCTTCTGGAGACCCAAATGACACTGAAGATACTGAAGTCCACATCACATTTACTAATGACTTGCGGGATGGCCGTGGAGACGGGCCGAGCCCAATACGCCGACGCATGCGTCCTCCGTACGTGAATGTGCAGAGCATGCTTGAGGAAGGCCAGAGCGAGGGGTCCGATAGAGAAGATGACAGCCATCTGAACTTTCTACGCAAAATCAGTCGCAATTCCTCATTCCATCATCTGAGTGAGCGAGAACGTCAACGGCTTGGCGGCGCAGAGTATCGAGCCGTATCCCTATTGTCGATCATTGTGCCTGTCTACTTTCTGCTCTGGCAGTTATTAGGTGGGCTTGGAGTCGGCGCGTATGTGGCGAGAAACAAGGCTGCGCTGGCTAGGGCGAACGGAATGAATCCTTGGTAACTCTTCTTTCCCAGTGTCCTCAGACCCTTCCAACTTTATCCTCGTCTAGGTGGGTGGGATTCTTCTTCGCCATTTCTGCCTTCAATAACTCCGGGATGAGTATCCTTGACGCCAATATGGTAAGTACCTGGGCTTCTCTTTTGAACTTGGCATGCCACTAATATTTTGTCCAAGGTTCCCTTTCAAAGATCAACATACATGCTGATCACGATGGGTCTTCTCATTCTGGCGGGCAACACGTGGTATGTCCCTTCGCTATTCTGTGTTTCTCTACATGTGAACTCATTATTGCCTTGCAGTTACCCAGTTTTCCTGCGCTGGATATTGTCCACCATGCGTCGGATTCTCCCCCCTGGCGAGTATTTTCATTATCTCCGAGAGACATTGACTTTCCTGTTGGAGCACCCCCGACGATGTTACACAACGCTTTTCCCTTCCGCACATACCTGGTGGCTTTTTCTCTCCGTGGTTGTATTGAATGGGGTTGATTGGGTGGCATATGAAGTGCTCAATGTGAGTTCGATCGTTTCTCATCTACCCAAGTTCGAAATACTGACATTTGTTCAAGTACGACAATCCGGCAGTCGACGTAATTCCCGTCGGCTCCCGTATCTTGGATGGACTATTCCAAGCACTTTGCGTGCGTAGTGGAGGTTTCTACATCACCAACATCTCCGCCCTCCAAATTGGAACTCAGGTACTCTACGTGATAATGATGTACATCTCCGTCTATCCAGTTGTAATCACCATGCGCCACTCCAACGTCTACGAAGAAAGAAGCCTGGGAATCTACGCCGACGACCCCACCGTGACCGAAGAGAGCGAAAATTCTTCGGTAAACACGTCTTTATCACCCAAATCCCCCTCGCAAGGCCGAATGTATTTTATCCGCCACCAACTCCGCGCACAGATGGCATATGACTTATGGTGGATCGCCTTGGCCGTACTAATAATCTGCATTGTGGAAGCTGGCAACTTCACTCGGGATCCAGTCACATACTCGGCGTTCAACATCATCTTCGAAACTGTCAGTGCATACGGCTGCGTCGGCATAAGCACCGGCCTTCCAACCCAGCTCTACAGCTTCTCTGGTGGCTGGCATACACTGAGCAAGCTCGTGCTCTGTGCTGTGATGATTCGCGGCCGTCATCGTGCTCTCCCCGTGGCGATTGACAAGGCCATCCTGCTTCCTAGTGATAAGCTTGCTAAAGCGGAGGAGGAAGATGCTTTGATTAGGATGGAGCGGACGATGAGTCGGACCCGATAGTGGCCCTCATCAGCCTGGGAAAAAACACATTACACTGTACATTTCTCGACGAAAATGAAAGGACTGTATGATACCTTGAATTCTCCTAGAAGGTAGGAATCTATGCTTGACGGCTACTTTCTCACATTGACAGATTGAAAGGTAACTGCATATGGTAAATGTAATGAAGGCAAAAACTCGAACAGAACCCTGATGTGCCTGTTTGGATACTTGCTTGGTAAAATAGTTGTGGAATTCACAGCATGGGTCATATTTGCTTTGCGATAGTGCTCATGGTTTCCAATTTATACCTGATTCAGAAGTAGCGTTCAATGCCCGTCACCACCGACTAAACCCCATCGTTGAAAGTATAGTGGTTCATCCATCGCTAAAAAAGTATCAGTTACCCATCACATGCGTCTTAGTAAGTATCAAGAACATACTTTGTCATAAGGCTTCGAAGAATCACAGAACCGCAAATCAGTCGCAAGACGAATAACGTTATCGGGGTCATTATTAATAGTCGATGCATGAATCTATGGAGAACATTAGCGCGACTCGAGCTATAGTGTAAGAATACATACCATATGAGGATTGTGCAGGACAACATCACCAGCCTCAAAAGCCGACACTAGCCATTTCCGACCGTGTTCAAGAGCGAATTGAGCTGGGGTCTCTGAAAGGAGACCTGTTGCCATCATGTTGGAGTTGAAAGCTGATCGGGCTTCCTCGTCAGAGAGACCCGCTTGTTTGGCCTTGGTGAAGAATGCTTGCTCCATTTCGATGCCGATGCTGTCCCCTGCGGTACGAAGTCAGTACCTCTCAAATGAAGACATGTAAAGTAAACGAACGTACCATCCTCGAGATAAATCAAACCCCCGCCGTTGAGCTTGATATCTCCTAGTGGAACCCAGGCTGTGACGCTGGTGGGATCACCGTATCGCAGGAAGATCTGATCGTAATGAACCTAATTCGACAAAGTCAGAAAGTGTGAGGAATCATGATGAGGCAACGTAAACATACACCAATGGGCTTCGAGCCAGGAATATTATTCCTAAGCAACGTGCGACGCAGACTAAGCGTATTCTTCCCCCAGCCAGAGAACTTTGCAATAAACTCAAACAGCGCCGGATGGTTACATAACTTCTCGGCATACCACTCCTTATAATGAGCGTCCAGCGCGAGATCAACAAACCGTGCCGCCTTATCACCACCCGGCCTCCCGTTCCCGTCGACATGACCGGCTCCAATGCCGGGGTACTCCAGGTGGCTCTTTGTCGGATCAAAAATACCCTCCACGGGCGCAGTGTCGGGCTTTAAAACACCAGTCGACTGTAGAGAGGAGAAGTATTGGTTACGGGCTTCAAGGACATCGGCGCGGGGAAGGACCTGCTTCAGGAAGAGGTAGCCGTCTTTTTCGTAGCGCTTGCGGAGTTCCTCGATGGGTAAATTTGGTTCGGAGGGACGCAAGAAGGCTGCGTTCTCAGAGGTTAGGGGGCCGTCATTGACGGCGAGGTTGTCTGCTATGACCCCGACCATTTTGGGATTGAGTAGAAGGGTTGAGGAGATAGAGAGGGATGCTACGGCGACTTTATATCTTGTCCTTGTAGACAAGAATCAATCAGAATGCATGTCCAACCATATCGATAAGATGGCCAGCTCTGGCCCGCATGACCAAGGCGTTGGACTCTATTCGCGGGGCGTCTAGCTGCGTGGAGTACTTATGATGCCAGGGTCGATGGGGAAGGCAGTGAATGGGTATAAATTATCCGCATATCAAGCGGGGAATACTGCTGAACGGGGCGAAAGTGGAGAAGCTACTAGTGACCCATGGCGGGGAATAACACTCTTCTCGACATTTGTCTCCATGACCTGCGGAAATCGAAGTTAATCAGCTTGGCGTTTTCTGTCTCTAAAGCTGCTGGTTACGTAGTGAGGTCCCAGTCAGTCCCTGCCAGGTTGGATATATACTGTGGACGGGATGGATCATCAGCAAATAGTGTCGAGTGACACAACCCCGGAAAATAAATAAAAAGACCAATTAACCACCCCTGGAAGGACGGCATTCGTTCTGTGGGCTTTGTGTGTAGATTGAATATAAAGACACAATATGTGAGATGAAAACAAGCTCTCTTTACACTTGCAGAACGGTACCTGGGCACAGACTACTAGCCCGATCGAGTAGCCATTCAGCCTCCAACTTCGCTCACCGAAACTATGCAAACGGCGCAGGCGATCAGGACCCCAAAACCTCCAGCGGCCATGTCCTTGCGCATGTGTGTGTGTGAATGGCACCAAGATCCGAAGTCTAGATTGCTCATTCATCAGTCTGACGACACGGACCACCCGTGGACATGTCCGAATAAAGGGGGGTTTTCCAACGTCAATGCTTTTGTACATGGCCCTCCTCTTGCCAGCCACTAATCTTCCAACCCTTCACACCATCCGCAATCTCCAACCTCATGGTAGTGAAAACTATGGTCTCATACATTTCCCTCACCGCCGCCCTCGCCTTGGCATGCCACGGCCCCAGCCCACCCAACCTCGCATCTTCTCGACTGCGCCAGATACCTAATTGAAAAAAAAAAAAAAAAAAAGTTAACAAACAATAAATACGAAGGACGGTGATGCACACACAAGTAGCCAGATTCTGCCTCTTCTCATTCGCCGTCCCAAACCAATACTTTAGTAACCCGCCACTGGTAGTAGCTTCCTGATGCGAATACGCATCTAACGCATGCAGACGGTCCTGATCAATACCCGGGTTGAGGACCGATCGGAACTCAACCACATAGAAAGCCTGCGTGGTCCATTCGTGACCTTCTGCGTCTGAATATGCTTTGACCAGGTTAAAGACTTCTTGCCAGTTGAAGGAGTCGAGATATGCGGCTGTGGCGTAATCGTCGCGAATTGGTCTGAAGGAGGCTAGTGCTAGTGATAGGAGTCTGTTCTGAGTGTCGAGGCGATTGAGATCTAGTAGATGGGGAGGGTCATTGTATGGCGAGGAGATTAGGCGCGTGTCTGTGTCTGGTGCTGGGTTGTTGAGATGTTGCAATTGTCTTGATGCGGCAGCGGCGAATTTGAGTAGGTCAAAGTCCTTTGTTACTTGGGTGTGGCGAAGGAGCTGGTTGAGGATCTTTGTCTTCTCGTCGACAGAGTCGAATTTGTCGAGTGTGCTGTCAATGGCCGGAGGGGCCACATTGACTGTCATGCTTTCGATGATGAGATACGGATTGTAATGCGAGGTCCAAAATGGACGAAGCAGCTCGAATTGAAAGAGGTATGAATGGTAGATACAGGGACGAGGATTGGAAATCGAAGGCGAAGTGCAGGAAGAAAAGTAGAAGCAGCCTTTTATCCCGTGAACATCTGCATAAAGTATAAATATTCGCACTTGATTGAGCACATCATTGGGCGCATTGAGCACACCTCATATGCTCCTAGTCCATAGCTTGTACCACATTCCACCCGATTGCGAAAGAGTTGGTGCCCGAGTGGGCAAAGAGCTCGAGCACGCAATACAGTGCCACCGTTGGAATTTGGTTCAATTGCAAAACGGCACCACGAACCGGGCACATCTTATCGGGCCACGCCTCTACCCCGATGTGACATTCCTTATGTTATGGATTGCTCGGCCCTGAGACATGAATGTCTTGGTGAGCCATGATTGTGAACCCTAATTGTTAGAGACGATCACGAGCGACTGCGCCCCGAAGATGCACGTCGGTCCTGTAACGGTCCTCGAACCCGTCGGTGTGTTGGAAGAGGAAATGGAATCCTGCCTTTGGACAAGCAATAAATAAACGTTTTGATTCGTTCCAGGCCTGGGCCCGAACTGGTCTAGATGTACAAAAATGGTATCACGTGCAATGCCCCTCGTCTCCCCGAACGCCGTCCAGATGCTCAGACCCGCAATAAACAATAAACAGTCGGTCAGGTAGATGCGATACCTATGGCTTGGGTGGTGGACCCATTTTACCGTCGCCCATATCGACCTTCTTCTTGGGTGGAAGAGCGGGCACTTTGAAGCCGTCTTTCTCTTTGCTCTGACCGCCGACCTGGGTGAATGTTCCCGAGTTGAACCAACGGTCTTCTTCGGCCTTGCGCTTGCGGTTGAGTTCGGCCTGCACCTTGGGATCGACGAGCTCCAGACCCTGGACGGGAGTGAATGCGATGGTACTGGCAGTACCAGCGCCCGCATTCAAGGATGTTCCTACGCCCGACGAACGCAGGCCCCTGGATTGTAGGACACTGGCAGTGCCACCGACGCCGCCCTGGCCGAAACCGCGCAGCGACGAAGCAGTACCACCTGCAGGGGTGGATGCGCCCCAGCCCTTGTTGTTCTTGCTGAGTCTGGCACGTGTGCGCTGATCGATCTGTGTGGCGCGGATGCGGCCGTCGTTCTGTTGTCCAAGCATACCCAGACCCACAGTGCCTTCGCCAGTGCCGTATCCGACTTCTGATTCCTCCTTGCCGAAAGCAACCCGGTTCTGTGCCTTACGTAGTTCTGTCATGGCCACGGCCTCCTTAGCCTTTCGGGCACGTCGTCCACCACGCTTCCTAGATGGCTTGTCATCGGGGGCGGGAAGGGCCTTGGCTCCGGAGTTGGGCGGGGGCTCGGTCAACTTCTCCAATCGCTGGAGACACTGCGCCTGCAAATCGACACCAAGAGAGCCATCCTTGTTGTAGTTGGAAACGTCTGCGCGAGCTGCGAGAACCATCTTGGCAGATACAATTCGGATAGCTTGCTTCTTGAGGTCATTTGGTACTTCCTGGATGAGAGGCGAATCGTAGAGGAAACCCTGCGCACGGACTCCGTGGTTGGTAGCAAAGCCCAATCCCTCCTGTCTCTTTGAACCTTGGGCTCCCAGATTACACGCCGGGATTTTGGCCAATTCAAGAAGACCACCGGTCTGGTTGAGGAACTGAGCTGCTGTCTCCGATCCGATCAAGGCTGCCAAGTTAGGCGCAATCGAATTCACGCGGGACTCAATACTCTGAGTGAGGGCCGTACGCTCGCGATCAAGCTTAAGAATCTTCTCACAAGTATCAAGAACGAGCTTAAGCTCAGATTCGTTCAACTCTCGTCCTCGGGTGGTAGTTCCCTCAAGCGCAACAATCATAAGAGACGGCCCATCCAGCACAGACTTGAGCGGCTCGCCAGCCATATTATCCGCCGACGATGAAAGTGCCTTGATATCGTCAAAGGGTCCATTTTTCAGAATCGCAACGGTTTTCGCGTATTTGATCGGGCTTGTAACCATAGTCTCCAGTTCGGGGAATCGGGTGGAGTAGTGATCGCGCAGGACTTTGTGTAGCCGGGTCAATTCGTCGGTCGTTGTTACTGAGCGATCGAACTCGTTGGTCGGTTCCGCGCCTCCTTGAAGGCCCTGGTCCTCCTCGGGCTCTTGCTCGACATCTTCCTCGTTCTGGAAGTCTTCATCTTCCTCGAAGTCGCGCAGAAGTTCCTCCGCGGTTGACATCTTGGCGTGAGATGAAAACTGTCGGGGTGAGTAGAGAAAGAAAGCGCGTAAGATAGATTTTCCACGACGCCACCGGGGCAGTTGGAAAGTTGACGTTGAAGTTGCGGTTGGAATTCTTCGAGAAGCAAATCCCCGGAGCTGCGATTAGTCAGGTGAGAGCTTTGCGGGTGACGACAGAAACCAGAAGCGCAGGCCGTGGATTTCAACCGCGAATCGCGACACTTTTTGACAGCATCTTAACACCTCTCGGGTTGGACTAGGACGGTCCTATTATACCCTCACTCTCATTGCGCCTTGGTGCGCCTGTTTGTTTTCTTTGGGTTTCCAGAACTCGCCACCTATAACCTCGGAAACGTCACGCAAATTTCAGCCTATCCGCCGACACCTTGAACCGGACTACACCTCAATCCAATCCTACAATTTAGCCCACTATGGAGGCTTCTCGTGGCCCTCCACGGGTCAAGAATAAGGCCGCGGCGCCGATCCAGATCTCCGCAGAGCAGTTGCTGCGCGAGGCCGTGGACCGACAGGAGCCCGGCCTGCAAGCACCGACACAGCGCTTTGCGGATCTGGAAGAGCTGCACGAGTACCAGGGTCGCAAGCGCAAGGAATTCGAGGACTATGTGCGGCGCAACCGCATTAACATGAACAATTGGATGCGCTATGCAGCATGGGAACTGGAACAGAAGGAATTCCGCCGAGCCCGGTCGATCTTTGAGCGCGCGCTGGACGTCGACTCGACCTCCGTTGTCCTGTGGATTCGTTACATCGAAGCTGAGATGAAGACTCGGAATATTAACCACGCCCGAAACCTCCTCGACCGTGCCGTGACCATTTTGCCTCGTATCGACAAGCTCTGGTACAAGTATGTCTACATGGAAGAGACCCTGGGTAACATCCCTGGTACTCGCCAGGTGTTTGAACGTTGGATGTCATGGGAGCCTGAGGAAGGTGCTTGGGGCGCATATATCAAGTTGGAGAAGCGGTACAATGAGTTTGACAGAGCGCGTGCTATTTTCCAGCGATTCACCATCGTCCACCCCGAACCTCGGAACTGGATCAAATGGGCTCGGTTCGAGGAGGAATCCGGAACGAGTGACTTGGTTCGTGAGGTTTATGGCCTGGCCATCGAGACACTGGGAGAGGACTTTATGGACGAGAAACTCTTCATCGTCTACGCCAAGTTCGAAGCCAAGTTGAAGGAATATGAGCGCGCTCGGGCTATCTACAAATATGCTTTAGATCGTCTCCCACGGTCCAAATCAATGGTCTTGCACAAGGCCTACACCACATTTGAGAAGCAGTTCGGTGACCGAGAAGGCGTTGAGGATGTGATTCTGTCCAAGCGACGGGTACAATATGAAGAGGAGCTCAAGCAGAACTCGCGCAACTACGACATCTGGTTTGACTTTGCAAGACTCGAAGAAACGGCCGGCGATCCAGAGAAGGTGCGAGATGTCTACGAGCGAGCCATCGCTCAAATTCCCCCGTCACAAGAAAAGAGGCACTGGCGCAGGTATATATACCTTTGGATCTTCTACGCCGTGTGGGAGGAGATGGAGGCCAAGGATGCGGATCGCGCGCGACAGATCTACCAAGAATGCATCAAGCTGATCCCCCATAAGAAGTTCACATTCGCCAAGGTGTGGCTTATGAAGGCCCAGTTTGAGATCCGCCAAATGGAGCTACAAGCTGCGCGAAAGACCCTGGGCATGGCTATTGGTATGTGCCCGAAAGACAAACTCTTCCGTGGCTATATCGAGCTTGAGCGCCAGTTATTCGAATTCGTGCGGTGTCGCACCCTGTACGAGAAGCAGCTTGAGTGGAACTCTTCGAATAGCCAATCTTGGATTCAATATGCCGAGCTTGAGCGTGGCCTGGATGATTTGGACCGCGCCCGCGCACTTTACGAGCTGGGTATCGACCAGCCGACTCTCGACATGCCCGAGCTGGTGTGGAAGTCCTATATCGACTTCGAAGAGTACGAGGGCGAATACGACAGAGTGCGCGCTCTGTACGAGCGTCTCCTCCAGAAGACCGATCACGTCAAGGTATGGATCAACTACGCGCGTTTCGAGATCAACGTACCGGAAGACGAGGAGGAGGAGGAAGACGAAGAGAAGCCTGTCAGCGAAGACGCGAAGAAACGGGCGCGGGCGGTATTCGATCGGGCGCACAAGGTTTTCAAGGACAAGGAGCTCAAGGAAGAGGTATGTATCATCCGGATCCCACGGACTATGGACTCGGCGCTAACTGCTATCCAGCGAGTGGAACTGCTCAACGCCTGGCGCTCCTTCGAGCACACCCACGGTTCTCCAGAAGACATCGACAAAATCGAGAAACAGATGCCCCGGCGTGTCAAGAAGCGTCGCAAGCTGGAAGACGACCGGTACGAGGAGTACATGGATTACGTCTTCCCCGCCGACGACAAGTCCGCCGCGAACCTGTCGAAGCTGCTCCAGAGGGCGCACCAGTGGAAGCAGGGTCAGACATAGTTCATGCACAGAGCTGGAGTATGTGGAATTGCATTCGTGCAAGTCTGGAGAAAATGATATCCTCACGTGTTACAATAATTTCCCTAAACGCCCGACTTTTTCGCCAATGAGAAGAACAAAGGAACTGTGGTAGCATCACACATGAACCTTCCGATCGAATTAGATCTCGTACAAACACCTGATCTCACTAGTGTTCCTGGTTTTATCAGTGGTCGCCTGGAAAAAACATCCGCGTAGTACGTCGGACCTGTGCGGGTGAAGAGGGGGGCTTGTGCGACGAGTAATCTTGCAAGATGATCCGGACGTACCTGCATTGTGCCTGGCGATGTATCGGAGATGAATTTATTGCACCACATCTCGCGGGCTAGGCCTGATCGATAACATAGATTGAGATAGATCGGTTAGAGATAAATGAAATGGCCTGATGGCGCATTCTACGCCAATGGTCTGTTGACTGCTTGTCCACGGGGCCTCAAGAGTGGAGGAAGGCGACCCTTTCGGGGCGAAACTAGGGCGGACCGTGGGCTTCCACGAAAATTCTAGTGAGCTATTCTTAGCGTAACATTATACTGATATAGTGGCGTTTATAGTGCTCTCTAGCTGTGGTATCATTGCCCGTACCTCCTACCCCTACTGCATCCTTATTCTCGAGACCGGGAAACTTTGTAGCCAACATCGGAACAAATGAGTATCCTAGAAACTAAAGAACCATCCGAGGCTCCGAGGCTGGGGACGATCAGTGCACGAGCCAGGGTGTGACTGCCGGGTTCCTTGGTTGTTCCTCCACCCAACCATGGATCCCAGCTCGTGTGTGAAAAGGGGTTGTTTGTTTGATCTATCTACCCCTCCTTGCATACAGTGCTTCGGGTCTGCGAGTCGAGGAGTCTGGGAGTCTGGAGTCTAGGGACACAGGACACAGGACACAGGGCTCAGGACTCAGGCCGCTTCAGTGAGACCCAGTGGAGAAGCAGCCCAAAAGTTGGCAGGTCTGCTTGAATAGGGGGTTCCACATAATTTAGTAAAGCAGCCACAGTATACCCGCAATATGAAGACTGAACTTCTGAGAAGAGAATCGAGACAATAGTGGTGAAGGGTTGACCGAAGTCTAGTCCGAGCGGACCCTAAAATCAAGAAACGGAGGGCGATCATAGGAGTAAAAAAGGGAAAGCGAAATGAGTATGACGAAGGGAAAGCGGAAAGGGGATGGCGGCACTCGCTAACCTCCGTTAGGGGGCTCCTCACGGTGTCTCACCTTCCCTTCGGTCCCAGGTCACGTCTTGCAGGTTTGCCCCCCAGGTCGTCGCTCTTGCTCTTGCTCTTACGCCTGTTTTCTTGTGCTGTGCACTTGTCCTTCGGTTAGTTCCGTGTTGATGTTGATGTTGATGCTGGTGGTGGTGAGACTTACTCTTCCAGTTTCCCTTTCCGCGACGTGTCGCCCAACCCCCGTTCTCTACCTTTGTTGTTTTTTTTTTTTTGGGCTTTCGCCTAGACTCGATCTTTTCGCCTTTCTGGACCGTCGACCTGGTTTGAATCTCGTTCTTGGATCCCAAACCTCAAACCTTGAATTCCGAGCTCGACGCGCGATTCCGATATTGAGTCAACTCCACCGGATCCACGACCAAGAGCTATCACACAACCTTGCGAACAATTCTCAAACCCGAATTCCACCGTGGTGCCTTTCAATCACCCGGCCGAGATGAGATAGTGCTCTGGTAGTCACCATTCATCCTCTTCGACCCGACTGATCTCCCGTGACGGCTGGCCATCCGCAATCTTTCTTGGTCTGGTATCACCTGTTTGACTTCGCAACTCACCATGACTGTTCCAACACCCCCGACCAAACTCACGGGGCACTGTTCCGTCATCTACGGCAACACCCTCTACGCCTACTCGCCTGACGGATTTTTGTCAATCCCGCTGCAAAAAAATGGTAACTGGACAACATTAGAATCTGCAAAGGCAAATGTCACCGGCGCAGCTTGTGTCACCGGTGCAATTGATGGTAACGACGATGAAGAAGGACTTTACGTGATCGGCGGGACCGGCGCCTCGTCCGGCTATTCCGGTCTTCAGCGATACTCCTTTGCAAACAAGACGTGGACAATGCTTCAGTCCAGTACAACTTCCCTGACGAATCGCCTATACCATGGAGCTGCTTACATCAAGTCGAATACTACTCTCTTGGTTTATGGAGGTAGCGTGGACTCCAAGGCTGCGTCGTCTTCAACCTTCACGATCTCTACGTCACCTCCCTACGACGTGGTTTCTCAAACCGACAATGGCGCCCCTGCAGCTCTCAGTCCCATGCTTCTACCGTGGAGTGATTCGGAGGTCGCTCTGGTTGGTGGCTCCACTGCGACTGCCATTTATACCTACCGTATGTCAGGGGGCTGGGTAAACTCAGGAGCGAGCTTGTCAGATGCTGTGCCATCGGATATTCACTGTGCTCTTGTCGAGTCGGAGAACAGCAAGATATTGAAGTCTTTCGATATGAGTGTTTCTCCCAACACCGTGACTAGCTACGCTCTGGTCAAAGATGGGACAACCGAGAGCCCGGCTGGTCAAGTGGGAGTTGCATCTACGAAGCGAAGCTCGAGCGATTACCCGACATACAACAGCACGTTCGCGCCGACCACGACTCGGTCAAATTACGCACTTGCTCAAGGAGACGATTTGGTTGTGATTTCGAGTGGAAAGGGTGATGACTCCCTTGCCATCTTCAACTCAACATCCAACGGCTGGGTCAACGCAACCGAACTTTTCTATGGTAGCGGCACACAACATGTATTGAAAGCAACCACCACTACATCGACAACTTCTACGACGCCCACAGCCACCTCATCTTCGACAGCGACTTCTCACACCGCCACCTCCACCCCCGCTGCAGGGGGTAGCTCTGGCGAGAACTACAAGGTCATCATTGGTGCTACCTTGGGCAGTGTTTGTGGATTGGCTTTGATTTTACTCCTTATTCTATATCTGCTCAAGCGCGAGAGGCAGAGGAGAGAGCAGAACGGCCAAGGAAAGGGGGAGATAACAAAGATCGACTCAGCTTCCAGGACCGGGGCATAGAACCCCTGGCTAACGGTGCCTACCCCATGGCAAGGAGTCCGGTTCCAGTGGCTTCGATGTCGAATGACTCGCTCGCCATAATGTCCGGGCGGGCTACCGGAGAAAAGGGACTGATGCCTCCTTCTGCTAATATGGGCTATGGACTTGCGAAGGGCAAGAGCAGCCCGCTCTCCACAATCCCGTCCAGTGGCCTTGCCCCGTCCAGTGTGTATTCCGAAGACGTGCGTCAATCAGTCGCCAGCACCGCCCCTGGCAACCAACCCGGCGACCGGACCACAGACGAAGGATGGGGCAAGTACTTCCAAGACGGTAACGCGACGAACCTCGCTGGAATGCAGTCCGATCGCTCAACCGTCAGCTCCATCTACACGAAATCCGACTACCGCGGCAGCGCCTGGCCCATGTCAAATCTGGCCCCCTTGAACTTCGGCTTCCTCGACCGGCCCCAGCCCCTAGGCCGTGTCTACAGCGGCAGTCCAACGACCGCCATCCCATCCTCGAACCACAGCCTCGTGATTCCCGAAGGGCAATCCGCACGTATCTCCAGCGCAAGCTCACTCAGTATGGATTCCGAGGACGACCCCCATGACACGAACTGGGCCGGTGCAGGGCAGAACAGCTGGCTCGGCCGCCCGCCGAGCAGCAACTACACAACTAGCTTCTACAATACCAGCACAAATGACATCCCGTCACAAGGAGCCCGCCAACCGGGCAACAACCGCCGGTCTAGCGTCATCATACCCGAAGATATCAACGAGCTCCCAATCCAGGGTCAAAAAGAAAATGTCAATGCTGATATGAGCTGGCTCAACCTCCAAGCCGGTCGATAAATATTCGAAAGTAGCCTGTCATTACCTTCCCTATCATCCTCTCTCACTTTTCTCGTCACTCCCTTATCAACACAATCTTCTCGCCAATACCTCAACAATGCCTCACTGGCACCTCACTGACACCTCACCAAAGCCTCATCTCTCTTCCCTTCCTGCATGGCGTCTCAGGGCGTCGGACTCCGAAAAAGTCACATCATTTATTGTCCCGTTCAGTGTTGCATATCGCTATATCTCCCTTGCATCCCTACCTGCATTTCCTACCTGTGTGCCGAGTGATTCCTTAGCGTTGTCTCACAGTCTCTGTTCCCGCTATCGCTGTGTCGATATGTCGATATCCTTGCTTCCTTTCCTGTCTCACGCCTGGTTGAACCTGGCCCTGTTTGAACTCGCGCCATCTTGTACATATTCCTTGGAATCGAAGATACCTGGGTATCCATCCGTTCCTGTGATTATTGAAGCTGTCCTTGTAGTTTTTGTCGTGTAGCTTTCAGTTGGTATTTGGCTTGCTTCGACCGCGTAGAAAGCTGCCGACGCGTGCTATGTAAGCAATGTGGTTGAGAGACATGTTAAACTCGGGAATGGAAATGGGGACCTGACCTCGTCCTTTTTGCATGCAGCCCCGAAGAGGTGGTTGGGATGAACTGAGTGTTGAGGTCATTCGGTTTTAGGACCGCGCGGTGAAGGCGGCCGACACACCGACCCGAAGTTTGGGAAATAGGGATGCCATACGGCGTAAATGTGGAGGATATCCCGGGTGGCTATGAACATCTGCGTACTCTGACCGTCATTAGCAAGCCGAATCGACTGCGCCAATCTTAGAGTACCACGCTGACGCTCTAGATGGTAAACCAGGAGCCAACCAGCGATGATGGATGACTGAAACGTCTTTCCCCAGAAAGGGCGTGATTAGGTAGGTAGTCATAGGATGTATTTCAGAATACTGGCAACATCCCCTTATTCCGGGCGTTGTCTTCAGGTATTGAACTCGCTCCCAATTAGAAAAGCTAAGTAGCGACTATATCCGTGTGTATTATTACCATTAGTGGTAGGTCTCGCCTCTACAGAGCCATACAGCATTACATGTGATATCAGAAGCCCCAAATCACAACCAAACGCCCTAATAAAACCTCGCCAACCAACTCCTCCTCTTCGAAACCTTCCTAAACTCATCGACAGCGGGACTAACAGCTTTCAAACTCCCATCATCAACATCCATCTGTTCAACACCCCGATAACTCGTGTCCTCCCTCCCACCATATCTCTCTGGACTGCCACCCGCCTCAGCCTTCGACCGAATATAATAATGCGCATCCATCTCCTCCATCCCAATAACCCACCTCTCTTTCAGCTGTCTCCCCACAGGCCCACCACCACAAGCACCCTGCAGCCTCGAACTCTGAGGAGAGTTGACCGCCAGCGCGAATAGATTCTGCGGCTCCGTGAAATCGGTTATCTGGTGCCCTCTAGCTTCGACGATCATAAAGACTAGACACACGGCGGATGTGAGGAATGCGAAGATTAGGATGACATAGAAGACGCCTTGCCATTTCTCTGTCCCGCCGGAGGCGTAGTCGACTGACTGCAGCGTGGCCAAGAAGTGCTGGTATTCGGGTATAGGAAGGATATCGGGCGGAGCGGTATAGTTCCAGCCTTGAACAAAGGGGGCATCTTGGGTACTAAGGATTAGAAGCGAACCTGCCATTACGGCGAGGGCTTCTGCAACAGAGGGGAGCCGCGGGTTGTAGGTGTATGTATTTGATGTGCTGGAGTAGGTGGGCATCATTTGCATGATGATACGCTCTGTGCTGGCTTGAGAGGCGGTTATGCCTGAGCCGAGACTAAGAGCGCTTGCCCATTCCGTAGCGACGTTTTTCCAGTCTGCAGACCAGAGGCCCTCGACAAAGGAGGGGTTGTTGTGGTTGTGTTGCAGGATGTTGGATTTGTCTTCGCAGTGCGAGGCGAGAAGGGCGCCTGAGGAGGCGGCTTCGTAGCGTGTAGAGCAGACGCCTGTTTCTTTGCCGCGCACTGAGCACATTACATACTCAGGGTTTGCGATTGAGGGCTTTCCTATGAGGTAGATTGCGTCTGTGGGCCAGATGCCTGTAGTGTTTAGGATGGTGTTGTTGGCTGTCGGGAATGTACCAAAAATTGGGGGTCGTTGGCCGTATTTCTCGCCGAAGCCAAATATGTCATCAACTACGGTACTGTTTAACCAGGATGGCCATCGCGGGATGTTGGACGGTGGGAACACGCTGTATCCCGTCGCGTTGAAGTGGGCGTCGGGCCATGAGGAGTATACTAGTGGGGCTAGTTCGGATTCGTTCATGCCGACACATAGGACGTTGACAGCAGGCGAGGGGACTGAGGCTTCTACATTGTACTTTCCCTCGCCTGATGCTTCTTGTGGCTGGCGGATATCGTTCTTGGGGTCCATTACCGCTGCGGGTACTCCGGCGTGCGGCAGGGCCATGGTGATGTTGTTGACCATGCGGCCGTGTCTCAATGATAGTTCAGTCATATTCGATATGTCGATCCAGCTGCCTGTTACTGTGGTGTTATCCCACATGGACGCGGTGGGCTTGGGTCGGGATTGCAATTGATCGGATGTTTTGTTGTCACCCGCTACCAGACCCGTCCACATTGTCATCCACTGCTCGAAATTGTGGTAGGCCTGACCGACGTGCTCCATCTGAAGACAGGTAGAGTTGCGGGCCTGAGGATCCATCGAGAGGGGAATCGGGGTCTGGCATTTTTCTGCGAGGAAGTTGGGGTTGCCCCAGCTAGCGTATACCTTGCCCCAGATGATGGTTGACTCTAATGGTCCCATGGACAGCTTCGGAGACACTGATGATGTGTTATGTTAGTACTCTAAGCATCGCGCACTAAGATTAGGTGGAAACTCACCTAAAGCCTCGGCTGCGGTCGTGTAGAGCATGGCTACGAACGTCGCAATCAAAGCGATGAGACCGAGAAACGAGAGTGCCGAGTAACGCAGTGTCTCCCAGTGCACCAGCATGGATCCAGGTTGCATAATCCACGCTCTCATACTCATATCTGAAATACTCACTCCTCTTGAATCTTGAGTCAACGCCCGTCGACTCAGTACCTGTCCCAGGAAAGCGACGCAAATAGTCACATAGGCCAATTCAATGGTCTTTGCGAAGAAGGCACACAGCAAATTGGCCGTTGACGCCGCTAAAGATCCCCCAACCCCAACATTCGACCACCTCGGCTTTCGAATGGCAACAGCCAGATATATGCCCGAGAATACAGTCGCATAAAAGGCAAGAACGAAGATGGTCACCGGGACCCACGAGAATCGTCGCTGCAGGACAGTCGCGCGGCTCGGGCAATTTCCATGATGTTGGTGAGGGGTCGTTGGTATTCCCTGAGGTGTTTTCAAGAAGCCTGGCGTTGTGACGGGGCTTGTTTCACTGGAAATGGAATCTCGTTTGCCCCGCGGCAGAGTCTCACCGGACGTGTTGGTGATGCCCAATCCAACCTCGCGGAGAACCTCCTCGGAGAAGCTCTGCCGCTCCTCACGATACGTTGGGAGAAAGGCGTATTCAAGCTCGGGCGAATTACGACCTAGCGGATTCCATGTGCGCTGAGGCCGCGTGGTTTCGAAGTCGGCCTCCGAGAGGAGCGAATGCTGCGACTCAGCCATGAGGGATGCAAAATATGAACATCAAAATGAGGAAGCTGAAAGTGAGCAGAAGCAGAGACCCTCATTTGAAGGTCTCCGGCCAGGCCAGACCTGGACAAGCGCGTCAAAAATAGCAGGCTTTTTGCTTATGAACTGCGGCTGATTTAACAACTTCTGACGGGGCCGGGTGCTCAGATCTTCGCCGGAGTGTCTACATCGAGTAAACACCACCCACTTTTTGGCCCCAAATCTCGGGTTGACAGGGTTCAGTCCGTTTCAACTGATCCCCTGATTGGAGCCCGTAGATTGTTGTCAAGAACCCCTATCGTTACCCCTGCTGGCTGTGGCCGGAGCTAGACTATGTAGGCGAAATCCCGAGCGAAATGCCAAGCGAAATGCAGGCTTCATGCATCTAAAATGGCGCAATTAGTGTCAGCGCTAAGTGCGAAATATGCACGAAATAGGGAACGGAAAACTTACAAGATAGGAAGCTAGTTATAAGCACCTTACTTACAGTGAGGATAAATGCTAAGCGCGAGTAGCGAGCCCTGGTTCGCGTGCTTGATGGATACTTTACCCCGCGAAAGTTAACCTTAGAAGCTACCCTCAATCTTGATTAGTTCGAACCGATACTGGACACGGAAGTTGCTTCAGGCCCACCGGGCACATACGATCTCCTTCGGGTATTCTTGGGAGTGGAAAGACCACGTAAATTATGGTGATTCGAGATTTCCTCTCAAGGCCCCTAGTGGAAGTTAATGCCATTATCATGTATTTTAAGTACACATGCTTCTTACACCGAAAAAGTAAAGGCATCAAACAGACTCCTCATGAGCAGTAAATGAGCCAGACTCCTTCAAATCTTCAGTGGCATTCGCAATATCGGTAGCATTCCCAACCAATGCTTCTGGACCGTCAAAGATCACGGCTATTTGTTCGAGCGAATATCCCTTAGTTTCAGGGTAGAAGAAGAATGCGGTGACACCAAACACAAGCAGCACGGCGATGAACACAATGTAGTATCTCCAGGCAATGGCAGCTAGCGCAATTGGGTTGACGAAGGTGTTGAAAAACATGCCGACGATCGTCGCAACCCAGGTAACGGTTAGGCCGCGGGACCGGAGACGGTAGGGCCAAATTTCACAGGGATATCCGGTAAGGAAGGGGGTCCTGAGAGTGATTGGTATTGAGTCAGTGATGGGTTGGTAAGAAAGGGTAACGAACGAAAAGAAGCTTACAGCGCAATGCAATAACCTGCGAAGAAGATAAACAGGAACGGAATGACGGCACCGCCAGTCGCGGTATTTTGTGTGACCGCGAAAGACCCCCGAAAGAGCCGTGACCAGTACATAACTCACGAACATGATAACAGCTGACGCGAGGAAGAGAGGGCGGCGTCCAAGCCGGTCACTCAAATAAGCACCGAGCGCAGCGAATGCCAGATCCCACATCTGCAAGCAGGCCGAAATGAGAGTCTGGTCACGAACATTGGTCACTCCCACCGAGGTCAAGATAAGGGAGAGATAGTATGAGATGACTCCATTGCCGACCCACTGGGCAAACATACCCAGAGTAATGGAAATCATCAAGCGACGGCGGTTACCGGCGGTCTTGATCATTTCCAGATAACTGCCATCGCTAGCTGCCTGTTGCTCCGCTCGAATGGTGGCGATAATCTCTTGGAATTCGTAGTTGACCAGAGGTGAGTTCTCATCACCAGCAGCATGATAACGAGTGAGAATTGCACGGGCCTCATCATCGCGTCCAACAGACACCAACCACCGAGGGCTCTCTGGTGCCAGGAAAAACCCTGGAAACCCAACAAGCGGCACCAGGAGCTGAAGGAGCGATGGCAAACGCCATGCCCAAGAAGATGAGTAGTCTCGCGACGCGAATACTACCCACGCAGCCACAGTACCTCCCACATACCATCCTGACATGAAAAGGGAGTTGAGAATGCCACGGTGGGACGGGTATGCAATTTCGTTGATTAGGAGGGGGACGGCATTTCCAAATAGAGCAGAAGCAGCACCAAGGAAGAGACGAGCAAGCAAGAAAGCCTTATCGTTTGGAGCCGCGGTTTGAAGCGCACAGCCAAGTGCCAAGAAGCAGTATCCAACATAGACACCAGGCTTGCGTCCCCAGCGATTGGCAATCCATGATGCTGTCGGGTATCCAACACCGCATCCTAGCCAGTAGATTGCGTTAATCCATCCAAGCCAGGAGCCTGCTGGATGATTCATGAAATCCTTCCACTGATCCAAGGCTTCGAGACCGTTCATTAATGATCCATCGAAGCCGTTGGCCGATGAGTACATCACCAGGGAGACGATGATGAAGTTGAGATGAAGAAGGTGACCCTGCTTGTACCATGGCGGAGCATCAGGGGGAATATAAGCAGCCAGCTGATCCTCTTCGGTAGGCCGAGTGGTACTGCCAGCATTGTTGACGCCCATCTTGTAGATAGAACTGCCAGTTGCATCGAAAAATAAAAATAGTTGATCTGAGAGAATCCCCGGGGGTATAGGGCATTTATCAAGAATGGTAAAAGGCCTCAAGTACGCTATGTCACCATTTTAGTTGATTAAATTTCCTGGTATTCACTTCTCCGTGGCGTCCACTGAGATCGGTGTCAATCGGCGAGAGTTCCGGGGCGAGGAAAATAAATAAATCGAATTGACCAATCGCATCAATGCATACACCCATAATGGCTCAGAAAATGGAGTCACTCGGTCATACGACCGAAATCCTTCCCCGAGTGCGGGAGAAATGTGTGGAGAAATGGGGATGCCGGGGTCGGCATAGATACTTCGGTTGACCACGCGGAGGCGGAGAAACGGAGAAAAGGAGAAACGGAGAAACCACCGGGGCGACGCTGTTCAATCAGCTTTGTTGCTGCTGTGGGACTAACTGGGACTAACCCACTAGCCTTCGCTATACTCCAGACGTAGACTTCCCGATGTTTCAATTTCGGGTGCGCAAAGCGCATGAGGTCGGTTCAACGTGTAGAGAAAGTGGGGATCCAAAGTGCTCATGGACATGGAGGGGATACATAGGCGGGGTGTCCTCGCTGCTCTTGATCATGCCTAAACTTTCCATTCTCTTCGCAATTGAATGTTGAGTGCAGAAAACATGCCGCTGTTAGATTCAACACCCGTGGCTGTGGATGAAGCATTCACGCAGATCGCAGGCGCTGATATCGAAAGTCTGCTCAAACAACTCACGCTGGATGAGAAAGTCGCACTGTTAGCTGGTACGTGAATCATGTTCTCACGATTCTACCCAGTAGTAGCAAATGTCGCTAATCATACCTCTGTGAACAGGAGATGATTTTTGGCACACCGTCTCAATCCCTCGACTCGGAATTCCATCAATTCGAGTCTCCGATGGCCCCAATGGTGTACGGGGTACTCGCTTCTTCAGTAGTGTCCCAGCGGCATGCCTGCCATGCGGAACGGCGATCGGTGCTACATTCGACCGCGACCTCGCCCTCGAAATTGGACACTTGCTTGCCGCGGAAGCAAAGGCCAAAGGTGTCCATGTAATCCTAGGCCCAACAATCAACATTGCACGAGGTCCTCTGGGAGGAAGAGGATTCGAGTCATACTCCGAAGATCCAATGCTATCAGGTGTGCTTGCAGGCCACTATTGCAAAGGTCTGAAGGAAAAAAACATCAGCGCTACACTCAAACACTTTGTTTGTAATGACCAAGAGCACGAGCGCATGGCAGTGAACTCGATTGTCACCGATCGGGCGCTCAGAGAAATCTACCTGCTTCCTTTCCAAGTCGCTATCGCTTTGGGGGAACCGGATGCCATAATGACCGCTTACAATAAAGTGAATGGTGTCCATGCAGCCGAGAGCAAGTTCCTGCTTCAAGATGTTCTCCGCGATGAGTGGAAATGGGATGGCTTATTAATGAGTGACTGGTAAGTCTTACGAAGTCTGGTTGATTCAATGAGTCGCAAACCGTCCTAACTAATGGTCTTTCTCCTTATTCAGGTTCGGAACATATAGCACCTCGGAAGCTATCATCGCGGGCCTTGATTTGGAAATGCCAGGCCCAGGAAGATGGCGCGGTGCTGCATTGACACACGCCATCACATCAAACAAGATCCCTATGTCCAAGCTCAATGATCGAGTTCGAGCTGTTCTCAAACTGGTCCAAAAAGCAAGCAAGTCAGGTGTTCCTCAGCGCGCCCCAGAGAATCAGTTGAATCGGCCCGAGGACCGACAATTGTTGAGGAAGGTTGTATCCGAGGCAATCGTGCTGCTGAAGAACGAAGGCAACATTCTTCCGTTGAACAAGGACAAGAAAGTTGCCGTGATTGGTCCCAACGCAAATATTGCCACATATTGTGGCGGCGGCAGTGCGGCATTGAATCCCTATTACACTGTGACTCCGTTTGAAGGTATCTCGAACTCGGCTCAGGCTGGTGTTGATTTCGCACAGGGCATCTATGGGCATCAAATGCTGCCATTATTGGGCAAACGCCTCGTCACCGATGATGGCCTTCATGGCTTTACATTGACAATTTTCAATGACCCTCCGACCAATCAAACCAGAACACCACTCGAGGTTCGTCATGAAACCGACTCGATGATCATTTTCATGGATTATGATCACCCCGCGCTGCAGCCAACTTGGTACGCAGATGCAGAGGGGTACTTCATCCCCGAAGAATCCGGTGTATATGATTTCGGCCTCACTGTTCACGGAACGGGAAAGCTGTATGTCGATGGGAACTTGCTCATTAACAATGCCGACAAACAGAGAGCCGGAACAAGCTTCTTCGGCAGTGGTACTCTGGAAGAGACCTCTGCGATAGAACTTGAGGCTGGCAGGAAATACAAGGTTCATGCGCAGTGGGGCTGTGGAAAGACCAGCACATTCAGGGTCCCTGGTGTCGTCGATTTCGGACACGGAGGTTTCCGCCTTGGTGCTTGCAAGCAGTTATTACCTCAGGAAGGTACCAAGGAAGCAGTCAAGGTTGCCTCCAGTGTTGACCAGGTGGTCCTCGTGGCCGGGCTGAGTGCGGAATGGGAGTCGGAAGGCGAAGATCGAGCGCATATGAGCCTGCCTCCTCACACGGATGATTTGATCACACAAATCCTCGCTGCCAATCCTAACACCGTCATTGTTGTTCAGAGTGGGACTCCGGTCGAGATGCCTTGGGTTGACAAAGCAAAGGCCGTGCTTCATGCTTGGTATGGAGGGAATGAAACAGGTAACGGTATTGCTGATGTCGTCTTCGGCGACGTCAACCCGGTAGGACCTCCCATGACACTGATGAGATAACCGATCGGATATTAACCTATTCTTTTCTGCTTTGATAGTCCGGAAAGCTTCCTCTCACATTTCCCCGTCGCCTCAAGGATAATCCCACATTCTTCAACTACCGGTCGGAAGGCGGCCGTGTTCTATATGGCGAGGACGTGTATGTTGGATACCGTTATTACGATGGCCTGGAAGTTGAGCCGTTGTTTCCCTTCGGCCACGGTCTCTCCTATACCACTTTCAATCTCTCAGGTCTGCATCTAATCAGGGATTCGGAAAACACTTTACAAGTGGAGTGTAAATTGCAAAACACTGGGTCGAGAGCTGGAGCAGAGGTTATTCAAGTATATTTAGCACCCGTATCGTCTCCGATCAGACGGCCTCTAAAGGAATTGAAAGAATTCCGTAAGGTGTTCCTTGAAAGCGGTGCAGGACAAACCGTCGCGATCCCGCTTGACATAGTCCGGGTGACGAGTTTCTGGGACGAGAAAAACAATAGCTGGTGCAGCCACAGCGGTGCTTACAAGATCATGGTTGGAACAAGCAGTCGTGGGGTCTTTGCAGAAGAATCTTTCGAGATCGGCGAAACTACCTTCTGGTCTGGCAGCTGGTAAATGAGAAGCTGGACAGTCCAGCTATTTGTATTTAGACTATAGACCACATGTTTTTACTAGGTAAAGAACCATTATTTGATCAATCATCCATCATGTCCGGATACGATCTGTATCGACCCACGTCTGTAGATGCATGGTATTCATTCCCTCGCTGCTGTCCAAGCGGGACAAAATATCAGTGGCACGTTGAATGTAGTCAGACACTCGCTTCGAGACTGGGTCATCTGGAAGAAAGGGGCACGCCAAGAGACTGGCTGCAATGTCGCGGACTTTGTTGGCCAGATGTAAACCGTTAGCTTCCAGGCTGATTTGAGGGGTGTTGAAAATTATAAAGAAGAGTTCTCGGCAAAGTCTTTCGCGTTCCATCCACAATGTTCTTTGGTCCAGCGTTGCGGGCTGATGGCCGGAATCCGACCCCGAGGAGGGTCTTTGGTTGGACTGCGCCACTTCCAATTGATCCATTATGAGACTCTGTAGCCAAAGATGCGTAACATGTAAGTTTGCTCGCAAAGACGCAAATTGTGTGCGGATATTATTTGCGGTTTCAATGTTCGGGTCTTCGTGGTTGAACTCGTCGCTGGCCGGTACCCACAGGGAAGTTGGTATATCTCCAACGAGAGACTGAAGGTCATCAAGTCGGTTTTGATAGTATGACACCTGAAGATTGGGATTACGCGCTCGAACACAAGAACATGGTTCGTCCTCTGGTACGTTTGGATGTGAGCTTCTGATGGCAGCCCAAAAAACGCGTGAATGATAGATGAAGCCTGTAGCGAGGCAAGGGGGTGTATTTTCTGGTATCATGGCCTCGTGCTCAAAAATACACTCATCATCTGTTTCCAAGGGCAGCAGATCGCTTGGGTTGATAGCATGTAGCATGACTGGATCCAGGTAGGTCAATCTCTCCCCAAGTAGATTTTGCAAATGAGCGTGGCTATCGGACAGATCATTAGATCAACCAGCAACGAAGGGAAAAGTGCGACGCAAATTCGGGTCACTTACACAAAAGAGTAGAAAACAAGCCAGAACCCCTTTTTTCGAAGTTGAGTCTCTATACAATTGAGGCCTTTGTATTCGGAGATCTGGTGAAAGTTCAGCAGACGGGCTATTTGCATAGCCTCAACACTCAACATGCGAGACCAATTATGGTCGCCCAGCTGAAGGAATGCCGCGAAAAAAAGGTACGGAATAGAGAATTTCTGGAAGTTGAGCTCGTCAAAATAGGATGAGGTCCTTAGCCTTGTGACTTTCGCGTAGCAAAAGTGAACCACTTCCTTACGAGATGAGAATTTCAACGGGGGGTCGTGAGACTGGTAGGCCTGAAATTTGCTGGCCATGGTTGCCACGACCAGCGCGACAATGGATGTTGTAAGCGATAGAAATCCATCATCCTCGTAGTCGTGATCATCTTGAAGAGCTTTCTGAAACGATGGACGATGCACAATTGGCACGGTTGGATACAGGTTATCCAGATAATCCCACATTATGATTTTAAGTAGGCGTCGATCGCAGATGTCATCGGTCCGGTATTGGGCACTGGAAGCCCGCTGCCCTTGTAGCCCAGGAATAGGGTTCGCCCTTCTTGCGTGTTAGAAGCTGAATATTACTCTGAGATATTACAAACACAGTCCATACCGCTTCTTGGGCCCCCTAGTCTTTGATGGGGAGGTAAACGTGCATGGTAAGTTCAATCTCTCACATCGCGCGCATCTAGCCCGAACAGGGATGGATTGCGTCGGTAGATGGCACTTGACCTTGCGCTTCCGGCAGGTATCACAGGCCTTGGTGATCAGGTCTACGCGAGGGGTGGGCTGGTTGTAGCCTGTCATTCTGCACAAAGCAGCAAGGCCATACTCTAAGGTACTATGCAGAGATGGAGAGAAGTCGAGTCCATCTTCATTGGACAGGAATCGGCTCGCCAAGACAGCCAATCACGTGTCACCATAAAGCATGAATCTATTGAGTCTGAGAATTTGCGAACTGGATGGAGTCCGTCTGGGAAGTTCATAAGCGAAGAACTCATGTAACTCAGAACAATCCCTGACGATCCCGGGCCCAAGGGAAGGGCTTACACCCCTTGTGAGTACTGCCATCTTGCACTAAAGGAAAGAAAAAAAGTAATAGAAGTAGGAACCGGATTGTTAGACCAACTCATCCACTTCACTTGCCGTTATTTACTCTGTCGAGACAGTTCCCCACCGGCACAAATTCCCCTGAGACAAAGTAGAGGCGACTCGTGCGAGATTCTTGCAATAAGCCGGGCGAAGCTGACGATCCCACCTGGTCCGTTTGCCGTTACCTCTCCGATACATGTATTATTCACCAAAATGGAGGCTTTGCTACAGCTTAGGAGGTACCCGATACAAAGCGATACAGTTGATGGTAACATCGCAATCACCTGCCAAGGTCCACCACATACTCCAAACTGCCTGGTCAGTACTTGTTGAGCGCGGGAATCGGCAAATCGTGATGCAAAATATTATGCCGATACATCCGTAATTTCAGATATAAAAGCGACGGTGAAGACCACGGAGTCAAGTCACCCAGCACAGCACACGACAGACATCAGACCAACACAGCCAGATCTATCTATCGCGGATCATTATCTCCATATTCAAGATGGCCGACTGCATCAAGACTGATATCTTCATTTCCGGCGGCGGGCCTGTTGGACTCCTCATCGCCTATAGCTTGGCTAGACAGGGGGTTGATTCTCTTCTAGTTGGTAAGTCTCTGGCCTCAATTACCTCGTCCCACAAGCGACATTTGGTTGACGTTCCGATGCCACAGAGCAATATGTCAAAGAGGAGCAGGCCATGTACGGCCGAGCCACTACCCTCTTCCCCCGCACACTCGAGATGTTGGACCAGCTGGACCTCCTCGAGGACCTGAACCAGATAGGATATATTGGCCGCAACAGCGTGACATTCAAGGACGGCAAGCGGGTCACGTCTCGGGGATGGCATGTCATGTTTGAACGTATGAACGGCACTTTCCTGAACTATTGTCTCAACATCCGCCAGAAGTATTCTGAGGAGGTGATTCTGGGCGCGTATCAGAAGATCGGAGGCCAGGCGTACGTGGGCTGGAAGCTAGAAAGCTTCTCAGTTGACCATGCCAGTGAAGACGATTACAAGGTGACGTCACAGATCCGTGAGATCAAGACGGACCGTTCGTTGACCGTGAAAAGGTACGATATTTTGCTTGAAGTAATTCTGTTGCTAACATTGCCGGTCAGTAAATACATTGTCGGTGCTGATGGCGGCCACTCTCTTGTGCGGCGCATGACTGATGTCCCATTCGAAGGGGATAAGACCGATTTCAAGTGGGTGCGCATTGATGGACGTTTCAAAACGAACATGCCTGATGCCGATCTGGGATTCGCGTCTATTGAGTCTCGAAGCCACGGAAACGTTCTTTGGGTTCAGCTTGACCACGGGGTGAAGCGCATTGGGTTTGCTATGACGGACGCGGTGCTTGCGAAATATGGTGGCAAACTCACGGAGGAGCAAGCGAAGGAAGAAGCCGTCCGATCCATGGAGCCTTTTACTCTGGAATTCGAGTCCGTCGACTGGTGGACACTGTACAGGTAGATCTATCCTGTTCTGTCTGGTCCGTTGACCAAGTGGGTTTCAATGCTAATAATGGAATATAGTATCAACCAACGTGTGGCTGATTCCTTTTTCGCCAACGATCGAGTCTTACTGGCGGGCGATGCCTGTCATACCCACTCCTCCGGAGCCGCCCAGGGCATGAACACAGGCGTCCATGATGCCGTAAACCTCGCTTGGAAGCTAGGTGGAGTGGTCAAGGGCTGGTACAACACGAAAGTCCTGCAGACATACGATAGTGAGCGCCGCCCAGCGGCTCTGCGACTCATTGAGCTCGACAAAGCATTCTCAGCCACCATCTCCGGCCAGGTCCCGGATAGTCACAAAGAATTGTATAGCGATGCCAATGAGCTGTTCACGAAGCTCTTTAACGAGACGATCCAGTTCAATATTGGATTAGGCATCAACTACCAAGAGAACATCATCAACAAAGCCCCTTCTACCGGAATGATCTCGGCGGGCTGGAGAGCGCCGGACGCCTTGGTCTACGCCCCTGGTTCTCGCCTCCCAACCCGCCTCTTTCACCGGATGAAGAACTGCGGTCAATGGTCAATCCTTGTTTTCGCCGGACAGCCTGTCGTGACTAGCGAAAGATTGGCGTCTGCGGTTGAAAAGCTCAAGGAACTTGCGAATACCCTTCCTCACGGCATGGCTCAATTCCTCACTCTTGTAGCTCAATGCGCAGCGGAAGGAGATCAAGTGTTTGATCTTCCCAAGATCGGCCACGTATTCTATGACCAGGATCGGGCAGCCCATGGCGCGTACACCATCTCGACGAAAAATGGTGCTGTGGTTATTCTACGGCCTGATGGGATTTTAGGACATGCCGCACCGCTGGACGATCTGGACAGTGTCGTTACCTTCTTCAGGAGATTCAGAATTCAGAGTCAGTTTAACACATCGAGAATTGAGCTCAAGGATCCTGGTTTGTAAGTTACAGATGTGAAAAGCGGGGATATCGGTTTAAAATCCTGGTTGATGAAGTTGAAAGCGATTATGAGGGAACAGACAGATGGCGCGTTGAGCAGGTGCTGTGTTTTGTGAGTTTCGTGACACTCTTTTTTTTATCATTTTTCAGTTTTCAGTTGCTACAGTCGCCGCAGTACCCCGTTGAGATTTATTTTAGTCTCTTCTAACAAATGATCCAGTGAAAAAAATCTGCATCACCTTCGCTATGAATCGTTTAGCGACGATATGCATTTCGAGTGGGTGACCATAAGAATGGTATACTACATTGACGAGGGGGCGTTGTAAAATGAAGGCCGGCGGAACTGAAAAGACTCCAAGGTCACAGTTATCGCAGGTTGAGACAATCGCCCTTGACGCTTTCCACAGGAAAGGATTTCAAGAAAACCGAGACATGTATATATTTCACCCTGTAATTATACGTTGTAGGCACAGTAAGGAAGCATCTCTCGATAAAAAGCTTCCTCGAATGGAGCTAAACCTAGGCCAGATGGATCTCTTTTCAGTAGTAGTCGTTCAGTTTGGGCCATGAAGGATTTTGTACTGAGAGCTCGGTCCTGGTGGCGATGCAAGAGTTGTTGGGAGAGCTGATCCATTCTATGTGACTCCATTTGCACTTGAGTAACAAGGCTTAGGAATAGACATACTTGTGCAAATGAAAGGACCACCAAAAGTAGATATCGAAATCTTCTGTTGCGAAATAAGAGGCGCCAGATGATCTCTTCGTTCTCAGAATCGCCAGAACTGCCAGAATAACCATGCCCTCCACGATATGATCTATAATGCATTGACATTCTGGGTCTTGGACTGCCCTTCAGACTCCAGCCCAGGCCGTATTTATCGTAGGCAGATCGTCTCAGGTCATCGGAGAGAAGGAGATGGGCATCCACAATAAGACGGTATCGATCCAGCCGTTCTTCTTTTGTTAGATTGTTGCTGGCCGGACTCGCGGCACTGTCTGGATGGTATAGTTTGACAAGGCTGTAAAACTGCGATTTGGAGTATTGGTTGCCTGGTTGTATTTCCATAACCTCGTACGGGGTTGGTGAATCGTTCGCAGGCCAAGTTGAAATCCTCTTTCCTCGACGCCAGCCAGGCTGCGATAGCGAACGATGCCGCGTGGTAGGCGTATCTAACACAGTACCATTGATGGAGCGTGTCGGGCTGGTCGAAGTTGTAAAGGAAAGGACCTTAAAGGTGCATTTACGGTACATCGTGCGTGAGGATAGAGTTGACGGAAGTATGAACAAAGCAAGTCGACCCGAACCAGACTCGTCTTCCTAGTCTCCTTCAAGCAGATTACTTTAGGGCCAGGGTGTGTGTTAAGGATGAAGGACATTAATGGCACGAAGCCATAAATATTCATCACACGAACAGCTTGATCTCGGCTGGTGTGTGGATTAGTTGAAACGATGAACTATGTGTAGTAGACTCACTGAGCTGCATTCAGATGTGTAGGCGCCCCTCAGTTTGAGGGGGTTTATGCAGGCCACCGTATGCAGGTCAAAAGCGCTCATATGCGGCGCTTTTGGCGGTCTGATGGCGTGCGATTAAGCCTGGTCAAAAGCCTCTTTGGCATTTCCAGCCGTTGTAGTTGACTATCAGATTTGAAATATGGAAATGCACACAAAGGCTACTAAAAGCACATATTTCCAGTTCATATAATCAATCAAATAATCCACATGGTTGGTGTTGGAAAGAGCACAGACTCAATTACCATGCGAACTACGCTCAACTCGAGAAATAAATCATTTGAGCGAGACTGAGAGAACCCAGGCTGCCAGACTTCGGACAGGAACAGCTCAAGGAAGTTACTTCCCGGTGGTCTTCGGTCTTACCCGCACAAGCCTAGCGCTTGCGCGAATTTGAGTAGGTTGCGTCCGCGCCCAGCCAAAGAATGAAATGAGACCTGTGATGGCATGTGTGGAAAATAGTAATCCACAAGGCCCACTTAGCTGTCAGCCTCTCCGGGTCTAGCCATTGGATCTGGTCCAGTTTCAACCCCAATTGCTAAACAGAAAGAAAGGAGAGCCCTGGCCCTCGTTACCTCCAAGTATTTATAAACAGCTGGTCAAGCTGGCCTGGTCGCTCCCATTTCGCCTCTCGAGCCTCCAACATCCTCGTGGCTCCCGCAACTGGACCAACATAATGGCCTTTCACAGTTTAGACAAAGGCGAGAACGCCGTCGGCATACACACGGTCACGCTGGAAGCGCAGGCAAATGCAGATGACCAGAGCTTAGAACAAAGGGATGAGAGAGAAGTGCTTGAGCATCCCGATGAGATTACCCACCATGCGCAGGCTGGAATTCAGAAAGCCGAAGCTACCGCTCTGGTATGGTCCAGCAAAGCCCTGTATGGCACATATGCCTGGTATGTCTCCTGAAGTACTGAAACTGTTCCATAAAGTGGATCAGTGCAGTTATTCATTTGCCCACAAGCCTTAGCCGAGGTTAACATAAGATAACCTTTTGCAGGATCTGGTTGTGCTTCTTCATCTTGTCCATGCAATCGTCAATTAGCAATAACATGATCTACTACGCATACGCAAAGTTCGCTTCAGCGCCGCAAATATCCCAAGCTTATATCGTATCGACCATTGTGGGGGGAGTCCTTCAACTTCCCATTGCAAAGACTCTGAATATTTGGGGCCGTACCGAGGGATTCCTGACATTCTTAGCGGTGTTCATCATTGGACTGATCGTAATAGCCTCCTGTAATGGTCCCAACGGATTTGCTGCTGGCTACACCTTATACTGGATCGGCTATTCAGCCCTGAATTTCATTCTCTCTGTGTTTGTCGCCGACGCATCCGGACTGAAGAATCGAGCCTTTGTCTATGCCTTCATCGGTACGCCGACCATCTGCACAGCCTTTGCTGGGCCCATCATTGCCCAGGCATTCGTCACTCATTCAACTTGGCGCTGGTCTTACGGATGCTTCGCCATCATCACCTTTATCACTTTTGTGCCGCTCGCCGTCGTTTTTAAATTCTACCAACGCAAAGCCGAGAAGCTGGGACTTTTCACGCACACCTCAAGTGACCGAACCACGACCCAGTCCATCGTCCACTACATCCATGAATTCGACATCGTTGGTGCTTTCATTCTGATGGCTGCATTCATTCTGTTCCTCCTACCCTTCAGCCTCCAAACTTACGGCTTTACTGGATACTCTTCTGCGAAGTTTATCGCTATGGTAGTCATTGGACTACTGCTCTTCCCGGTCTTTGCTCTTTGGGAGACCTACTTCGCCAGAACTCCCTTCATCCGATGGGAGTTGTTCAAAAAGCGCACAGTTCTCGGAGCTTGTATCCTGGCGGCCATTATTTTCTTCAACTACTACACGTGGGATCAATACTTTTACTACTATGTGCAAGTGGTTTACAACCTCGACACATCCAAGACAGGATACATGACACAAATCTACGGCGTTGGATCAACCGTTTGGGCGGTCTTATTTGGCATTTGGATTCGCCAAACAAAGTACTTCAAGAATGTTTGTCTCTTCTTCGGTGCACCACTACTGTTGCTTGGTGCAGCTCTGATGATCCACTTCCGAGGCTCACAAAGTGACATTCAATACCTGGTGATGTGTCAAATTTTCATTGCCTTTGGGGGTGGAACCCTTGTTATCGGAGATGAAATGGCTGTCATGGCTGCCGCTGACCGTGACGGTGTCCCATTGATGATTGCCATGATTAGCTTGTCTTCGAGTGTTGGTGGAGCCATTGGATACGCCGTTGCGAGCGCCATTTATGCCAATACGTTCCCTCAGGCATTACTCAGAGCCCTTCCAGAGTCGACCAAGGAGGATTACGCCACTATCTACGCCGGTGGATCAGCTGCCCAACTGGTGTATCCTCCAGGGAGCGAGACAAGAAATGCGATCAACTACGCATGGGCTTATAGCCAGAAGTACGAGTGCATCACGGCAGCTTGTCTTGTTATTCTTGCTTTCCCGGCGATTGCCATGTGGAAGAACTACGATGTCGACAGGAAACAAGTCAAGGGTACTGTCATCTAGAACGGAAAGTTGGGCTTGTTCCGTAATTGGGGATAGCATGGCGCGAGTTGAAGAAAGAAGACATCTCGACAACTGACAACGACACTCGGTCTCTTGGAAAACACAAGATGTGATCGACTATAATACCAATTCATCTTTAATCCGGTGACTTGATAAGTCAGCTTTAACAGTGCATGCGCATGACTTTCTAAATAAATAATATTGTGTCTATGAAGACAAATTGGAAGTTGCCACATTTAGCGGAAGAGAAATTTAGATCACCCGGGCACGATGTAACCTGTGACTACGATTTTCCCTCGCGAGTAAAAGTTTGTACGGTAGGGAAAAGAAATTCACCTGGTCCTGAGACTACTGTAGATTTCTAGAGACCGATTGCTTATGGAAATGCAGATGGCAGCATTAATTGGAAGTGAGATGATAATTTAGTTTCACTAGTGAAGTTGGATATGTCCGTGCACCTGGGAAGTATCCTTCAACGCGCCAGGGACAAACCACACGACACGCATCTTCTTGCCTGTGCTTTCTCAAAGGAGCATTGTCAACCGAAAAATCCGCCGCTGCCGAAGTCGGCGCCGGTTCTCATACCGGAAGTTTACTCGTATTATTTTCTGTGGTTGCTCGTTTCTTGTGTTTCTGAGATTGGCCCCGCTCTCTTGCAGAAACCTGCTCAATTGCACTCGAATCCTTCCAATTCTTAAGGACCCGCAAAGATTAGTATCCGTGACCTTCGGTCGCCCCCAGCTACGGCGTTTTCCTTTGTGGGTGCGCGCCACAAAACTTGAACTCTAGCAATTCCTGCACAGCGGTACCTTTATTGTATACCTAGGATTCCCATACAGTATAAAGGTACATAATCAACTTGAACAGATTTTTCGATCTACTGTAGGCATGTAAATAGGCTTACATCTTAACATATTTCATACTAATATATGTAATTCAGCTCTCTGGCTTCCACTCTTACTGTTTAGAAGAGAGATTATCTTAGCTAGATAATATGATTATCGTTCTATTAATTCTGTAAGAAACCGATACCATGATATCCAACCAATTAACTTAGTAACTAGAGCTCGGTCTTATGTTAGCTTACGAAATAATAGACTACTCCTGTTCAAATCTTGATCTTACCATGACACAGTGTAGTCGTCCCTGGTAAGATTACTTAGATACCAAGGGAAAACACAAAGTAAGAAAATATGTACCATTTACATAGGATTTAGTTCGAGTTCAGGATGTGTGACGCACGCCTACTTGGAACCAGTGTGAGCATCGTCGAAGGGGATACATGGGTAATGGCGGAAAAGTTGAAAAGCAATTGGCTTTCCTAAGGCTATGGAAAGTGAGACAAAATCTCAGGTATCAGGTTTTCAATGTTGCATTATTCCACGATGAGAGCTTTTACATAATTGCTGGATTTGTGTTATCTGTTATTCCTATGCCTCGAGCGTAGAAATATCAACATCGTATAAGGTGATCAGACTCGTTCCAATAGCAGCAATAGCAGTGCTGCCAATCAAAAATGGTGTGTAATAACCAGCTGCTGTCACCATAGCACCGATTGTGATTGAAGAGACCACGGTGGCAGCATGAACGGCAGAACCTGAAGTCCAGAAGTCATTGCAGATGAGCCTCTGATGCTCTGGAAGTAGATAGGAACATAGTAGACAAGAAGAAAAAAGCCACCGCTAGAGAAGAATGCAAAAATTCCAGCAGACCAGATGGTGCGTTTCTTGAGGATTTAGGGTGGCAAAGTTACGACTGTGCTCTTCTTACTAGCCGCATTGTTCTCGTCTTGTCGACTAATGTAGATCTGGGACGCGGCAAAAAGAAGAATCAGCAGTCCAAACCCGACAAAAAGGACGATAATTTGAGAGCTCCCCCAGGCATAGGCATTTCCGCCCCATTGCAATGCGAGAATCAAGCATATGATAGCCGGGATGAGCAAGCTCGCACCGATCAAGTCAAGTTCTTGAGCAATGTGAGAAAATGATAGCTTCCTATCCTGATTGTTCTTCGGGAGTCGAAGGACCAATAGAACAACTACCATAGAAATTCCGCCCACGGGGAGGTTGATATAGAAACACCATCTCCAAGACGGACCATCAGTAAACGCTCCACCAAGTAGAGGACCGACGATTGAGGAAACACCAAATTTAAGTTGCTCTGCTTCTGCTCATCGCATCGTACCCCTCTTTTGTACCACCACTGCACCGCTGGGGATTATTAAAGCTTTCGGCTACAGTCTTCTCAGACGCTGGGAATATTGATACGGCATGGCATCACTTCACTCTGATTCTGATCGACTTGAATCGAAGTCCAACTTTTTGACAGCGGAAATTCTTGATACTCCTGCCATTAATAGTGCCCAATATTCAAGTGACGTGGAACTGATGTCCCAGCGAATCTTGGATGTTTTTCTGAAATATGCACTTAACAAATTTGGATATGCACCGGACCATCTGGATGGTAATGGAGAAGGCTTCCTTTCTGTGATAGCCCGATTTGTCGCCGAAGGTGCCCGTGTACAGGCTTGTCTCCCTGTGTTTCCCTTCAAGTCCGCGAATAAGGTGTACAAGGTTCTCGGGAGCTTGCCAGACAAAGCAGAGGAACTAGCACTTGATCGATTGAACACTCTTTGCAATTATATTCAGGACTTTTATGCTCCGGGTGCTGAGATTGTGATTATATCGGACGGCATCACCTACAATGGTATGTGGTGGGTACTTCAATTGGCATATTAAACATATTTTTGTCCAATCTCTGACAAGTTTATGGTCGACTATAGACTTGTTATGTATTTCAGACAAAGAGACATGGGAATATGGTGAATCCCTACGAAGCATGGCCATCAAGAAGGGATTTCGCAACATTTCATTCTCGCGAATCCGAGACCTTCTTGACATATCTCTACCCAATAATCTGACTGAAATCGTCTATGTGGCCAATTGTTCCAACTTTCGTCGCTTGCTTTTAAACCAATATGGGAAGACCAATCTCGACATCGACGAGGAAATTACGAAGAACGCAGATACAAAGCTGACATACCTTGGCTATAAGCGTTTTTTGGAATCGGATTTGCAGCACATCTTTCCTCGAGGGAAGCGTCGCTCTGCTCACAGTTATAAGCGGGATTGCAAGTATTTAGCGAAACAAATGCTTATAAGAGGATATGTATTGAAAAGGGGATGGCTCGATGGCTGTCTGACAATACAGACTGGGCAACAGCAACCAACGAACAACACACACACAGCCTGCACGTAGTAGAGGTCGTCCTAGGGGAGGTCGCGAATGTCCTTGGTGAGGCCGTGAGGTCGTACGTGCAATCCTGGACGCAGCAATCCTAAATGAGGCCGTACGGTTTTTCCCGACTGAGCCCGTATGGAATGTACTTAATATAGCATGTTGAATGAAAGAATGTAGTGACAAGTGGAATGAATTGGGTAGATGCCTCTTCTCTCTCTATCCTCATGTAGAAGCTGCTGCTTACACCTAAGGTATTCGTGACACCTCAGGCCGCAACTGTATTCATTATGTCATGCGTTCCACCACTACAGTATGTATTATTACGCCATGAACATGTCATTTTGGGAGACCTTGCGACTGACTTGAACGAACAGGCCTTTGCCGGGGCCGTTAAACAAGCCTTCCCACACCATCTGCGGCTTTCAATCCACGAGTCTATCAGTGGAAACAAGATACCTATTAGTCTGCTGAATACTAAGACAGGCTACACTACCCCGTGGCATTGTTCTGTGGCTCAACTTGCAGATGGGGTATGGGTTAGTGCTCCGATGGGCGAGTTCAGTCAGGATACTCGGTTGGAATTGGTTCATGTCCAGGGAACCCCCAGCCACTACAGGGAGAAATTGTCCGGAGGGGGACATAATCCCATCAGCGAGACAACGGCAAGCTATCTCCAGTCCGTTAAGCCCATCAAAGCCACTGCGTACGTCAATAATGCATTCAAGGATGCATCATCATTTGCATCCTCTTCTAACGAGGATTCCGTCTCTTCATCCGAGGGAAAATACGCTGACAGCCGTTTCACTATCCTGGATACCCTAGCAACGTCGGAGTTTTTGTCTCCACTATTTGGCCTGGGAATCGAGATATCTTCGAAGCCTGGAGTTGTGCCATCGCCGCTGGAAACAAAGGCTGGGGTGTCAACGGAATACGGTAGAAGGCTCATCCCCCAGATAATAAATGAACTTGCTGCTTCCGAGCCGGAAAGAACCGTTTTTTCTCTTGCGTCGCTCTCAAATGGCTTTCTCAAACTCAACCCAATTTCTGCTCAACGGTTCACCAGAGCAGTGGATAAGACTGCCTGGTGGCTTCGCGATCAGGTTGGCACCCCCGATTTACTTCAGCCCATGGCTTACATTGGACCACGTATGTTTTCAATTATTAAAAGGAACCCCAATTTGATCTCGGCTTCTGACGGTACTGTTCGGTTTAGATGATCTCAGGCATATTCTTTTGACATATGCCTGTGTTAAAGCTGGCTATTCGGTATGTTCTTGCCAAGTCAGCACGATCAAGATAAGGTGAATACACCGATTCTAAATATCTCCCTTAATATAGGCTCTTTTCCTATCCCCAAAAACAATGCAGACGGAATATTGGCTGTTCTCAACAAACTGGACTGCAATATCTGGGTCAATGCAATTGACGCATCGCCGGTCCCCGTGGTCAAGGATGTTTTGCAGGAGCGGCCTATGAAGTATTTGCAGCTTCCGACGCTCGACCTGCTTCTTGATGCTGAGTCTACCGAAGCTTTCCCCTACACAAAGACCTTTGATGAGGCCATTAATGATCCATTCTGTTACTTGCATACGTCTGGAAGCACTGGACTGCCCAAGCCCATTCCTTGGTCTCATGGTCTCATGGTCTCATTGGCACTATGGACGCAGCTCGACTGATGCCACCCATCGGTGAAAACGCTGATTTGGCGCCTTGGACTTCAGACTGGAATGAAGGGGACAAGATATACTCATCCTTCCCAATGAGTCACGTAAGTCAAATCCTCCTGTATCTATTTTTCTGCGGCTCAGGATGATGTGGAAGGAGTTTTTAGCTGACTGTATCAACTATAGGGCGCTGGAATCATTATGGATATTTTGATGCCTGCACTTTTCAATCTTCACTGCATCTTGGGACCAGTTGGTGTATTACCAAATCTGAACCTAGTGGGCAGGCTAGCTGTAGATGTGAAGATTGATATCTGGAGTATGGTCCCTTCGCTCGTTGATGAACTGGGCGAAGCCTCCGAAATCCTGGAGCATCTCCATCCCAGCAAGTTCATCTGTGCATCTGGAGGTCCTGTTAGTCCAGCCAACGCTGGCAAGGTGAATGAGATTGTCAGAGTCCTTAACTTGACTGGTACAACTGAAGGCCTCTTCATTGGAAATTTGAAGCCCGCGAGAGAAGATTGGTTCTGGTTTTGCTTCCATCCTTACTCTGGATTCGAGTTTAAGGAGCTCGAAACCGATACCTATGAGCACTGGGTACATCGCAACGAGCAATGGGCTCTTTTCCAAGGGATTTTCCACACATTCCCGGATCGAAATTCAATCAACTTCAAGGACCTTTACATGCAGCACCCTACCAAGCCCAACTTACGGGCCTTCAAGGGAAGAAGCGATGATCCTGTGGTCCTGTCGAATGGATATAAAATATCGCCCCTGGAGACAGAGGCATTTATCACAACTCACCCCGACATCAGTGGTTGCTTGATTTTTGGAACCGGAAAGCCACAAGCCGGCCTACTCATTGAGTTGAATGATCCATCTAACAAATTACCTGAGCTGATCGACAGGATTTGGGTAAAAGTTCAGACAGCAAATTCTATGTCCCGGCACAAAAATCAGCTACTCAAAGATTTCATCACTTTTGCACTCCCTGAGAAGCCCTTCTTGCGAACGGACAAGAGAACAATCAAACGATCTGCTACACTGAAATTGTACTCAGACTACATTGAGCGATTCTACAGTTCGCGCAATGATGATGTCAATCAAGTTGTGACTTTTGATATGAGCTCAGTTGGGGCAATCGAGGATTCTATACGAATGGCTCTTAGAAGCTCTCTCTCAGAAGCTCAGAGCGTACTTCGAGAAAAAGACATATTTTCTGTTGGACTTGACTCTCTCGGCGTTTTCGCAGCTGTCAAAACCATCCGGGTAGTCACAGGCTTGGGTGATAAGATATCACCTCGTCACTTCTACGCCAATCCGACGATTATGAGCCTTTCTACGACGATTTCTACACTATTCACAGACGCAAAGAATGCAGAATCTGAGGGGATGAACGATCTTATCGCTCAGCATAAAGCAAGACAGTCCTTCCGCTTAGATGCCTTCGACTACGTTAACCCAAATCATGGCATGGGCATCATGTTGTACTTTTCCATTCACGAGGAAATTCCTTACAAGCAAGTTTTTCAAAATCTCCAACAAGGGTTGAATCGTACATTCGACATGATACCTGCTCTTAGTGGAAAAATGATGTACTGCTCCGAACAGGAGATTGGATATAAAAAGGAGATCTTTGTGTGACAATTCCCCCGCTTTCCATGGCAAACTCTGTGAGAGACCGTCTGATATATGAGGATCTCTCCGACGTCCTTCCGCCATTTGAGAAATTGAAAGAGGCAGGCTTCCCACCTTCTGCTGTCCTAGACAGCCTCGTTCTGCGAGAAGACCCGTTTCCGAAATTCCCTGCGGACATTTTCTCAGGCCAAGTGAGCTTCATTTCCGGTGGCTGCATTGTTGCTCTTGACTTAAACCACTGTTGCCTCGACGGTCTGGGGGTCATGGTTGTTCTCAAGGCCTGGGCGGAGAATTGCAGGTATCTTCAAGGTGATCAAGGAGCAACTTGCTCCTGGTTTCACCTGGAGAGCTTCAACCACGCACTACCGGAAATCATCCACGAGAAAGAGGGCTGGGCTCGCCCGGTCAAAGAGATTGACCCTGGTATATGGGGATTCTTACCGTTCTTCCCACCTGATCAATACCAAGAGAGTGTTGAAGAAACTACCATTGTATATGAGAATAACAAGTTACCTCCGGCACTTGATTTCAAGTTGCATGATATTTGGCCGCTCCCACGCGCTGAACGGTGTACCGAAACAACAATGTTCCTGATCAGGCCTGAAAGCCTGGAGAAAATGAAGCAAGAGGTGATATCCGATCCCGAATCAAAGGGGGTCATCATATATGGGCAGTCTGTTGATCCTCAATCGATCAAAGATGCCCATCGAGACGCTTTGCTCTGATCACACCACAATTGGCCGCGTCGCGTATCTGCTTCGTGAGTCTGCCGCACGCATCACACCTTCATTCATCCATGATACGTTGTCAATTCTGCAGTCACTGCCAAATCATGAACGATTTTCAACCGCAAACATGGGACTCGAACATATGCATGCTATGATTTCCAACATGATGCTTTTCCCAGCCAACGAGGTTTGCTTTGGCGATGCCTTCTTTGCCAACGGAGGATGCCCTATTTCCCTGAGACCACAGGTTGAGCGTGGAAATGGACGTTTTAGATTCCTGGTAATTCTCCCCATCAGGAAGGATGGCGGAATTGAGCTTGTCTTCGGTACATATCCGGAGGAACTGAAGATGTTTCTAGCAGACAAAGAGTTCACGAAGTATGCCGAGCTTCTCGCTTTGTTCTGATGAGTCGATTATTTTTTGTTGCATCTTGTGTGATCTTTTCAATATCAATTGATGCCATTTTTGACCGTCTACAATTTGTTTGATGTTTTATGATTACGAAGAAATTTGGTTCTAGAGGTCTAGAGGGAGTGAAAGCATATAGAAGAGCTAAACCGAGCTTAGCAGACCCGCCAAAGAGCTTAAAACACTAGGCCAAGAACGTCGTGCTACAGGAATCTGAAATGACCTCCTCATCTATGTATCTGAATTCGTCAGACCAAATATTCCAAAGACATCTGCCTGTTCTTTGGCGCCTGACTTATGATGCTTGGTGCCGGTCTGATGATTCGCTTCCGAGGTACTGAAAGCCAGATCGGGTACCTTATTAGTGCCAAATTTTCATCGCCTTTGGAGGCGGTGCTCTTGTCATAGGCGCCGAAATGGCGGTGATTACAGCTGCCGACCGCGATGGCATCCCCATGGTGATAGCCTTGATCAGTCTTTCCGCCAGTATCGGCGGAACTATTGGCTATGCTGTTGCTGTCGCCATTTACTCGAACGCTTTCCCGAAGGCTCTCCTCGGCGCTCTTTATACGGACATGAAAGCCTACTAATTTGACCTTTATCTAGGGGGTTCTACGACCTAAAGGCTTTATCCTCCTGGCTCTGCTACTCGGGAGGCTATTAATTACGCACGGGGATATAGCCAAAAGTATGAGTGTATCACTGCCTGTGTCATCGTTGTCCTCGCGTTTCCTTCTGTTGCCATTTCGAAAAATTACGACGTTGACAAAACGCAAGTCAAGAGGACCATCATTTAGAGTACTCACTTGTGATACTACCACTCCTGAGACTCCTTTTTGTATTTGCCAATCTACAGCCTACGAATGATAATCATCTCTTATTTGAACATATGGGTGAGCCACAGAGGAACAGTCAATATTTGGAGGCTTTTCACTTCTCCAGAGATAGAGGTGTATTTTATTATTTGTCATATGAGGAAACCCCTCTCAAATCGTGCCTAATTGAGAGAAATCTGCAATTTCCCAGAGGCAAAGTAACGCAATCTGGAGCCTATTTCAGCGGCGACATTGTCGCTCTAGAAGTTGAATAACTCATAGATTGAAGCTTTCATGACGCCGATATGCCTGATAGTAATACCTGATGGACCTCATCTCCGAACATTCCTTGCTTAACAACGACATTGACATTGATGCCTCGCCGAATGATCAGTCCAATAAGCCCAGCCATCAGAACCATTAAACCCACTGCCAGGGTCCTCGTTTGACTTAATTACGTTCATTATGAGCTCCAATATCATCCATTGATTTGATACGTAAGAAAGGTCAATCAAAATGTGTTGCAGAGACTTTATGTGATTAACTCCGTACGGTTTGCCTGAAATAGACAGCAATTACCCACGGTCAATGTCGGCAGAAAGAGCTGCAAGACTAAAGGAAATTTATGTTTATTCAATCTTCTTGAACACAGTGGTGAATTTTTTCCAAGCACTGTATGCAGTCATCATAGCAAGTTCCACTGTGACTGAGATAACACAGAGAAAACGACCATTTGATCGACCCAAGACACCTAGGACAGTCCCAAGAATGAGGTTGGTAAATCAAGAAATGATATTTCTTAGCACTCGCATCACCTGCGCGCGCAAGTGTGGGGGAAATCTTGATGAGATCAACACTAAGATGAGGATCACGGGGTGAGTAATCCAATAGTGTCGGCAGAATCTCTTCGAACACTAGAGCTAGATATCTCTATAGCAGGCTCTAAGTCCTTGGCACAAGTAGTTTGGAAGGTTTGTTGAGCGCATTTGTCAAGCATGTCTGGAGTTTGTGCGTCGCATGTGGCCGGCCTCGAATGGTGGCTTTTCTGAGCATCCATAGCGCTAGTGCTAGATTTCGCAGCTGTCAACACTACTTGGCAAGTTTCTTTTCCTGGCTGGCTGGTTAGCTTCGGGTATCACTACCACCTCAATTTTGAGGCCTCAAAGGTGGAATAAGAGATATATTTACCTTCTGACAAAGGTGAGAGATAGCACCATTGTTCGACGCAGTCACATGGTTTTATAGCATGTGGACATTTCGACAGAGGACGTCCAGCCTTGCGTACCTTCTTCATCGAACGATCGAAATGTCGACACTTTAACGACCGATGGCCACGAATGCACATTTCACTTGAAGTAATCATTAGAATGAGCAATACCAACCTCCTAGACAGGCCAAAGGGCCATGGAGTCTGAGGATGGTTATCTAGCGGGGAGAAAGCTCACCAGGACCACTTCACCCCGTTTTCATCGATGGGCATTGTGCGAATATGAGGAATGAAGCTTGTTTGATCGGTCTATTTGAATAATCTTGAAGCCTTGTCGGTCGGGCGAGGTTGGAAGTTGGAAGATACCGATCCTTGTCCCTGGAAAAGGACCTTTGACGTCAAGGTCAGGTTAAAATAATTCGCTGTTGTACTTCTCATAGACTTTTGTTTCGTCTATGTTCATGGTGTGCTGGCTCTCTAGGGGCTTGTCTGGTTGCATTCTAATTGAATAACCACTCAGCCCCTTGAATGCATACTTAGGTCTACCCCACTACAACACTAGTGTCTTTCCTGAAGATACCCAGAAGCAAATTACGTTTGGTCCAGAAACTTTTACGCCCTAAGCACTTGTTTAAAAATTTCGTATGTCAACTCTTATTTCAGAATTGAATGAATCTCTGTTAATTATTTTATGAGTTGCAACAGGCTCAGATGGCAATTAATCTTGGTTGAAACCGGAAGGATCTACCCGCGGTGGGGTTCTGCGGCACTTTGAGGGGTTTATTAGCAAAGCAAGGGGATCCACTAGGAGAGGTTACTTGGGTCCTTTTTGGAGGTTCGCCAATAAATTTCATATCCCATATCTCAGTTCACCGAATACGAAAGTCCCTGCTCAAAGTCATTAATAAAGTTCGTTGCATAGGGAAAAAAAGAAGTCTTACGAAATTCAATTATAGCTCATGCAAGTCAAATTTCGACCAGCCCTATTGACCAAATCTTTCTATTCATTTTATAGAGAGCTTCTCATTCTTATGATTGAACCTATATTCGCCATTCTTCAGGTATCTACTTGACAAATGGTACTGCTGATTCGCTGCCTTTTCGAGATAAAGACAATGGACTGGGTATTTCACCGAAATCATAGGTCTATGTAACTCAATTCTGCGTTTATTTTACTTTGATCTCGCCAAACTAATATAAGGAAATCATTAGAAAATAGACCTAAGGGTGATAACATAAGCTAAACTAAGTAGGGTACTGCGCCTACTCCCTAGTTTTCACTTATGATGAATTATTTACTATACTGGTGGATATATTTAAATTAACTTAGGTAGAATTTACACGAGAATTGACTAGCTACTATGTAAATCAGATTGTAGAAACTGAAATACTGAATATCTCGCCCGCAGGAAACACGATACGGGGGTTTGGCCGCCATTCCCGCCGATAGGAACGTCTTTGCTACTCTTTATCTCTCAATGCCCGCTTCCCCTGGGACAAGTTGAACCGTGTCCCAAATAGTGTATCACAGATTCCAGGACTTCCGAATCCATCTGCAAACGAAACATTGGCCTGCGCGTGATGCTCTCCATGGGAGCGATTATCTAGAATCCCACCCAATATCCAGGTTAGGGAGAGTGGAACATGTAACTTGGAATCCTTGGCCTTATCCATCGAATTTGACTGTTCGCCCAAAGATTGCAGTAGCACACCGAAGTCATATCCTGAATGCTCGTATACGCCACCCATAGACCCAAGGCCTGCAACGAGGTAGTGGAAACGGATGTCGACACCGCCACCGCCCACGAGAATGAGTGGAACAAGATATGGAAGAATAATCTCGAGAAAGAAGTCCCCCGAGCTCATGTAGCAGGCACTTATTCCCCGGCTGGCCGTTGTCGTGTGGTGTACTGAGTGGCGTAACAGCCGCATCATTTTCTTATTAGAACTGTGAAGAAGATATCTATGGGTGAGATATTGCACGACGTCGTGGCCCAGCGCCATTGCGGGGAGTGCGAGAATAAATCGAGTGGGGCGTAGATGGGTCGGGCCAAAAAAACAAATCTCCAAAAATTGTGTGACCATCATGCATGGCAGTAGGATGCAGCATTGATTTACTAGAACGCGTGGCAGGAGTTGTATGAAACTCTTCCGATCAGGCTCGCGAACCCGCAGCCGTCGAACAGTGGTTTTGTCGGTGTACTCGAAAAGAAAAGCGGTGCCGTAGAATCCGAGCTGTTGGACGATCCATGTTTTGATGGAAAGGGGAATCTTGTGAATGAACATGGATCTTGACACCAGAGTTTTGAGTAAAATTGTACGGATACAAGTTGGCGTATACGCAGGATTGGGTGGAAGCTACCAGTGAAGTATCACTCACTCTTCAAACACTCGGAAGGGCTGTGGAATCTCAACCCTTTCTATAGAATACATGAGGCTGGTCAATCCAGGTTCCGGCACTTCCGCAATCAAGCATAAAAGTCACTTTTGCAGAAATTACATGGTATATTCCGCTCAAAGTCACTCACGGTTTCCGTTAACGACATGGAATAGGATTTATCTTTCACGGAACCGATTGAACCAACGAGTATAGCTGGAAATCAAGAAAAAAGTGACTTCAATTGCATTCGATGTCTTTGTTATTTTTCGACCTCAAAGAATGTCACCAAGCTCCACTGGCGCAACATAGATTAGTCTTACAATATACCCTCATCCAGCTAGGTAGCCCGACCTTACCTCAGATAGATCCCACGCAAGGAGATTTTCGACATCCGTTCTTGACAATCAAGTTTTTTCTCTGGCCGTTTCAGGGGACTAAATCAGCCTAGACGACTCATTATGCAGCGCTTGGTGGGTCCCTCCCTACAATTAGGCATAATGTAGTTTTTTGACCTACGTCTAAGCTAGTCCGCTTTAGCACATCACCCCATCGTGTATTGTAGACTTTCTTCCTCTTCTCTTCTTGTCTTCAATAATCTCAATAAATGGTCTTTCGCCTCTTCTCTTGTTCGTTCAGTGAGGCGGGATGGGACACCACAATTAGCATGGAGCGCTGGAAGGGAATCATGTCACACAGAATGACTTAATTGATCAAAAAACACGTCTAGTTTGACATTCGCAAGATCAATGACTATAGTCACCATTATCAAACATGCTTTTTCGGCCTGGATTCAAACTTTATCGTAAGTGGCCACCCTCGCGAGTGGAGATTTGTATGTAACGTTTTATTCTCATTCAAGACGGCCAAGGGGATAATCATACATATCTGGACTAAACGCTCCATTTGCGATTTGGCTTATCCTTATCTTACTCAAGAAGTAAAACAAATGAACAGCAACTTCTAGTCAAAAATACTCTATTTTTCTAGGAAATAAGAGCATTGGTAGCAAGGATCTATGGATCTTGAGCACTTTGGAGAAATATAAGGCTGCAGATGGTAACTCGCATTTGAGGTAGGAGAATGTGAGGTAGGGACTGTCATGAAGCCATGCCAAGGAGTGCCCGCCAAGGGGTATTTTTCCCGGGGGATTTCATGCATCTAGAGCCTCTTTGATAAACTTCGTTGAGGTCTGTGCGGAAATGATGGAGTGTGCTAACGCCTGGGCATTATTATGGCGGTTGTTTTCAGCCTAATTTGCTCATTTGAGGGAATTTGAGCGGTTTCTGGAGGAAGTTAGACTAGCGCTGCATTCTCAATGTACGATGCTACATAGTTTGAAACACATACCAAAATTGAGCTAAAATGGATCTAATGTAGTGTCTGGTTTCAAAATAAGTAGGGCGCTTGGATTATTATCAAGCTCTAGTCTTCGTGACATGCCCCATCCTGCCACCCAGGAGACGGCCTGGAAAAGCGACCCAGAAACAGCTCGCCAACAACAATAGCCGCAAAAACAGCACACAGAACGCCAACGTTGTATGTCATGAAGGCTAGCAACCTGGATTTTCATTGATTCTTGCAAGTCATTATTTAGCTACAGTAGACGATAGACTTACAATGCATAGCCCATGAGGGCACGGAGTCCCTCTAGCAGAGAACTCATAACGTCCCGCTCAGAGCTCCGTCTTTTGTAAGGACCAAGCAAACGCGGATGAGAATTGGTAACGTAAGATTTTTCCTCACGCTGATCAGAGTAGAGCTGAGAGGTGGGGCCCAATAAAGGAGCCGAGGGGAAAGCGCCGTAACAGTCGGTGTCGTTGTGTTTTACCTCCACTTGTGGTGGGAGAGGACTCACGCGATCCTTAAACTCTGATTACGAGCCCAGCAAGCTGAAGGTAATTCAATTTTGGCACACCGGATACATCGTGGTCCGAATTACTTGGTCTCCGGCCCAACTGTGGTTTTGAAATGCCAAGGAACCGGTTGAACAAGGTGAGCAGGAAGAGGAACAGCAGCGAAAAGACATATGAGGTCACTGTAGTGGTCGACTACCAACTGAAGAGGATTGTGAGCTTGGTGCTTACGGTAAAGACCATTGACATGGCCATGCTCAGCATGCCCACCGTGATCCAAGTTCATACGATGATTCATCGTGCCGACGGCGTCTAGCACGTGTGGAACGACACAGCCGTGAGTAGAATAGCAAATGGTAAAATTTAACCAGCATAGCGCCTTCGTTTGGCTTTATCTCCCTTCATCCCACGCCCCAAGATGATCTGCCATCACGCGATCTATGTCTGCTGTGCGGCTTCTTGTATGGTCCCAAGAGCAAGACAAGCAAAACATGCGCAATTTGGCGCACAATAATCTGGCCTCGTGCATCACATATCATGTATTTGTGCTTGGCTGCAAGTCTTGAAGCCTTTAGCCTCCCCACTGCGTGCATGATTTGGTGAGACCCATTTCTGTGGGGACTTCCCGGGCGCAAATGTGCTCATACCATGGCCAACTCATGGGATCAGCATCCATGTGCGCTCTCGATAAAACCTTTTTGAGTCCTCCCTTCAGACGCCCGAGCCGACATATTACCAGTTAATTCCACACAGGGTGCAGATCGAACGCTGACATATTTTCGTCAGCAAGAGCTCGTGTCAACAACTGCTTGCACAACCTTGAAAAACACAAGTCTTATTCCCTGAAATAAGAATCTTAGCCTTGTTATGGAGCGAAAAGAAGAAGCTCGTTATCAACCATTAGCACGCCCTTTCCAACACCAAGGCTGGTGCCCACCACTTCATTTGTCGGTAAGCATCTACTCCTCCGGTCTTGTGTATGAAGACCCAGCTAACACTATAAAGTGGATTAAATTCAGGGCCTATATTCGGCACTGTATTGTATACTCACCAGAAACATTTAGCAGCCAAAACGAGCTATGCCGGGGGGTTGAAGCCAGAATCCAAGCTCTAAAGCCCCGAAATCCCATGGAAAGTGGCCTCAAAGCTCTCGATGCAGGGAAGCTTCTCCCCTCACACGATATTGCTGTCTCGTTGGCCACAAATTATTTTAATACTTGGGAAAAGCTTTATCGAGTGATTCACATACCATCATTCTGGAAACAGTATCATGACGCCTGTGTGGAAGTCAGACAGTCATCACTTGGTTTCAAAATCCTCACGCTCGCAATTCTCGTCTTGGGACAGCGAGCCACAGTTCAGGGTTTAATGGAAGATCTTGAGTCGATCAAAGCCCGTCTTGAACGTTTCTCACAATGGACGGACTGCGTTGAGAACTACTGTTTCCTATTAGTCGACAATAAACGGCTGGACTTGATGGCAATGCAAACGTTGTGTTTGTTTGCACTGTACAAGACGACAACTTGTGACCGAACTGAAGCTCTGAAATGGACACAGAGACTTGTGAAATGCGCTGTACAAACCGATCTACACATTGATCCTTCCAAGTTAAACTCAATATCTCCATTCGAAATTGAGATACGAAGGCGGCTTTGGGCGACTATCCTCGAGATTGATCTTCAGGTTTCCCTTGAGCATGGCAACTCTCTACCCTGGACGGCGAATATGAATCACGAAGTTCAAGAGCAATCTAGCATGGACGATATTGAGTTGCACCCGCGTTCAACGCTTATTCCACCGGAAAATTCTGCTACAAGGAGCTCAGACTGCAGCGTTCAAATCGTCTTGTATAGTTGCCAAAAACTGCGAATACAGCTTCTCAGGGAGACATTCAGCAATGAGAATGAAAAGAGGACGAATGATCCAGTGCTAACTTACCGTCTTGTACGATTTCTTCTAAAAAGGCTTGACAGAATATCTCTTTCACCAAGCTTATCAAGCTGGGATCCTGAATCGAAGCTACTTCTGCGACTGCATGTTCTTCGTGCCTCTCTTAAGGTTATGCAAGGTCTCATATTTCGGGCTGTGGGGTTTTGCCAGCTACACAATGCTCTCCCTGCTTACTACAAATATGTTTTGGAGTACCTAAAGATTTATTTGAAATTATCGCCGTCAAGGCTGAATGGATCTATGCTGTCGTCTACGCTGTTCGAGGCACTCTTCCCGGTGTTGTATATTCACAATGATGGGTTCCAGCTCTTGAGTAAGTGGCTCAATATCATGCCCATAATCATTCACACTGATATAATGAAATTAGGTGATCCAAGCCCGTCGCAGAAAATAATAGATTTTGTCAAGTCGTGGTCCAAATATGAGTTCGAGGATCTGGACTGCTTGACGGATCGAGCCGTTAGAGAAAGGTTGATGTTTTACTTTCTTTCGCATTACCTGAAAAGCAAAAGTTCACACTCTAAGTCAGCTTCTGCACAATTTGAGACAGCTTCATGGAGATACGGCCGGTTGTGTTTGGCTCTCTGTCAGCGCAGGCGGTCTCCAATTTTCTACATGGAGATATCCGAGATGGCATGGTCAGAGCCATCCTTTATTTCGACATTAAACATAAAAAAAGAATGAAAGTAATTTGTCCTACAAAATCTGTTCCTGTGGGAAGCGCTAAGTAAATACTGCTGTAGATAACTGCTCCACTCATGAATTTTGATTCGATTCTTCGCCTTGGTAGATTGTTGCTATGTAGAATGTTTGAGCAAGGTCCTGTTTTAATTGTCTCCGCGCTGCCTACACGCCTTTCCAGCATTCTTCGCTGAAAATATTTATCCTCGAATTACTGGCATCGATCAACACCCAAACCCGCACTGCAGCGGGACAAAGAAAGCAAAAGCCAAATGGAAAGGATTTACTCTAATAAAATCAAGTCCACAAATAAAGACACTCTATTATAAAACTCGTGAGGCTTCAAAATTATAAGTAAAATATGAATTTTCACACTTGACCATTTGCACAGACCTCATCAACCTAGTACAGCATCCCAATCGATCGCCAGAAGTGGGATTTCAAGTTATGAGGTGTTATTTTGCTTGAAGAAAACGGTCTGTTCAATTAGAGACTGCCTTTCAAGAGACCGAAGAACCTGTCCAACTATGAGTAGCGTGGGTAAATAGTATGATCAAACGGTGTGATCAAATGATGTGGCCAAACGATATTGTTAAACCGTCAACTTTTTCTGGATCCCGGCCAGCTGGATGGAACCCGCACGTTAACCTACTTTTTCTGCCATACGGGACCGGCCTTAAGGCATATCTCTTATCTGCTCAGGGAAGCGCTCCTTGAGCACTCATTGAGCACACCGTAAAAGTGCGCCGAAACAATTCACGTGATATTTCAATAACTAATATTCTGGTAAATAGAATGCTTAAAACGGCGTCAAAAGTAGCCTTTTTCGGCGCCCAATTTACCGTCATTTAGCGTTGAGGTGTACTATCCTTGTAATCTTCAGACAAACTAGAAATATAGAGTCTCATGCATCGAGGTCAACAGAATTTTGTTTCTTGTGATTCAAGCCTGCCGTCGCGCGATTTATTGCTCCAAGGTAAACCAAATTGGGTCGAAGAAAGTTTGATTATCGAAATCGAAGTCTCGAAACAAATCCCCAGATAACGTCATTAGCTCTGCATTATCTGATGCCAGCCCAGGTTGTGAATTGGAGTCTTGCGGTCGGTCAACTTTTTCTATCCCAAATCAGCCTGAACTGAGTCCATTGAACCAGACAGTTTTCTTACCAGATATAGATGCCAAACATTTTGATCGAATTGTTCCCATACTATTAGCACATCGATCTGCTACTCTACTGTACGATTTAAGGTGCTCTAAGGTCGCTTGGCACTTATTCCAGGACATTTCCAAGGCTTCATGAGTCACAATATCGACAATGGGTTGATGAAGTTCAGCAAGGAGTGTGATAGAGCCAGCTGTGAATACGTCTGCGATCACATCAGATTTGAAGATGGGAGGCGGCTGTGGAATGTTCTTACAGAAAACGTTGTAAAACCATACACTGGCCAGATCGGTGTTGCAGGTCTCATGTATCAGTGAGATGAGATCGATGGCTGACTTTATACAGAAAAGCGAGCAGTCCATGGTAAATTTTTCATAAATTCCGGTTCCTAACGGACCAGGCTGCCGTTCATTTTGGATTCCTATGCAGGATAGATTTTCCTGCAGCAGTTGTGAGAGGACTGGCCGGTATATGAGGAGTCTCAAATACAGAAATCTAGACGAACATGGTTATTGCCCGTAATAAACCAGGGTTGGTGTATCTCAACATACCTAGCCTTGAGGAGGTACTTTTCTCTGAGGAACCCGTATTGCTGTGCTTCGGGGACAGGTACATCCCAACGAAGCGGACCAGGAATTCTGAGTTGAAACTCTTGGAGCTCTGAGTCGATTTGGGTGATAGATTGGATCTGGAACAGCCTCTTGTTTTGTCTTTGATCAGCAAGCTCGTCTTCGCAGTCTTTGCCGACGTTGTCATAAAGTGTATTTAACGTTTTTCGGACAAGTTCATATAACTTCAGTGTTGCAATAAACCACTCCACGCGGGAGAATAACCCCGGCGGCTGTTCACAGACAAGGGAGTCCACCATTAGGAAGCGATCGTCAATAGGAAGTGGTAAAGGTGTACACTGCTTATGGGGTACGATGACTGGGCGACCAAGGATGATACTTATCGCCCTGATATATTGTGTCAGCCAAGAGTTCAGGCAAGCTAGGTGTTTGTCCTCTTACAGGTCAAGCATCACACAACCATGGTATACCCGCCTCCGAACCTGAATCTCGGCGAATGATCGATGGTCATTCCCCGCGTCAGAATGCAATCCTATGCCCTGAGCGAGTCGGCAGGCGATCCCGATGACGTGCCAGCATCGATTAGGTGCCCGGGAGCCTTGGAGGTAGTGTGCCATCAAAAGTAGGGTCTGGGTTAAGGCAAGATCGCCAGCTTCGAGGTAGTCTACATCCAGAGCGGGTTTGCACGCATGGAAAAATGCCTCGGATATGGCCTCTCGCTCGTGCTGAATAATATCAGAGAACTGACAGCCCATAGCAAAGACAATGTTGAGCCCATAGTAGAAGCTCGTGCGAGTCCCTCTAGTATCTCCGAGACCTAGGCCATTTGCTGATCGCTCAGTCGAAGGGTTGTCATTTTGTCTCCATAACGATTCATAGGCGGCGAGAAATGCCTCTTTGTGTATGAATGGGTACAGAGTATGGATCTTCGAAAAATAGCGGTCAACCAGATGGTCTGCTAAGTGGCGTGGTGGGAGTAATTCATGTGAATCAACGGTCTCATTGAGTATTGTTGGGCTTTCCTGTGATCCATAATTGGAGAACTCCTGCATTGGCTCTGGGCCAGGTGTCCTCAATCTGACAGTATCCTGCAACTGCTTGATGAATGCGATCGTAGACGAATCTCCAAAGAATCCTCCTGTCGACTCTTGATCTTCGGTAAGAGGGCGGGAGACTAAGCCCATTGCAGTCACATTGGAGTTGTCTTCATGGATTGTTTTGCTGGGCAAAATGTCCCGAATATCACGGCTGTCGTCCTCATGGCTCCTTATACCTGCATTCAAATCCGTTCTTCACCCAAAATTAGAACTTTGAGTCCGTAAATTCCCATAAGCTTCATGTGGCGTACCTTTGATTGTTTTGAGCATTTTGGTCGTCATAGATGCAGCTCTCTCGACGGCGTTGGCAAGTGCCACATAGAGGCCGAACCCCATCACAACGGATTTTATGAGATCGACAAGTCTTACAAGCAACCCCGACTCTTTTTCTTTTAATAGGTCTGGATTGGGTGCGGCCTCTGTCAATCAAATTGAACATCTAGTTTGGACGATGTTATTATCGAGCCTCGGCGTATTCGGGAACTTTGTGGGGTGATTGCCCAAGACAAGGAGGGATTTGGGAAGCCGAGAGATCCACCGATCCGCCAGGCGGTGAGGAAGAGTCAAACATCGAGCTATAACCAAATAGCACGAAGCATTCAAAGCTCACGGGAATTTTGAATTGATAGACTGAATGTCTCTCAAATGCATACGTAGACACTTCTAGAATATTTGGATTCTTCATATTTTCCTATGCAGCGCAGTATTCAGCCTTACCTTACTGGATGCCATTCTTCTGAAAGATATATAGATAGCGCATAATCAATCGGTCTATTTGAATGTGATTGCTGAGATGTAAATAATCTACACTCGTTGCCTCTAGGGCTGGTTGCCACTATTCAGTCATGCCCTCAAAAAAACGACACAAGGACAGCGGAAGAGTCAGGCACGTCAACACTCAAAACCCCAGACTTAGCGCTCAAGGTCTCTTCCCTCTTATCAATAACAACAGGCATACCACCCAGCAGCGAATAATCATAAGAGACACCTCCAAAAGTGACGCCCTCTAATGAATCACACCCAGGTGCGATCAGTCTCTCAACCTTAGCATGACAATCACCCGCAACTTTGAATTTGTACTCCCGACTCGGACGACTCCCTGTGGTCGTCGCATTGTGAGCCCGCATGTTCACAGCCACGAGTTTGCTCAACTTTTCCCCATTATAAACAGCGTAGGCTGCTTCCGCATCTTCTGAAAGAGGGATATTAACGATGTGAGCATTTTCTGCGTGACCTATAGCGCTCGCCACCATGATTTGACCGTAATATGGGGGTCTGGTGGCTGGTAGCTCGCCTTCGCTCACGATAGGTTGCCATGAGGCGTAGCGGTAGTTTAGTCCTTGGTGAAAGTGGAGGCGTTCAAAATTCTGTTATAGTTTAGCATCGTGGGGACATTGTACGCCGGAAAGTAGGAGAGGAGAATTACGTGTGCTACAGCCCAGAGGGAGAAGTCGACGAGCCATAATGCGTCGCCGAAGACGTCAGTGACACCGTTTATGCCCTGGTTTGCCATTGAGTTCAGCTCCCCAAGAGTGTAAGGATGGCCGAGATAGGCGAGATTATGAGATCGTTCGATTTGTGCGGCTAGATTGCTGACAATGTTTGTGTGGTTCATCAAAGTTTCTGTTTCTGTTATGAATGGATGCGGGTAAAGGATGTGTGTGGAAATATATACCTTGAAGCTGTAGTGCTGCAGGAGGGTTGGATGGCGCGTTCGCACCCATATAGCTGTGATGCGCAATGTTACTTAAGTGAACGTACATTAAATTTGAAACGAACGGAGAGACAACTTACTTGTGGAACGAAAGCTCCCGTGTCAAGAACTTAGGATCGTATCCAAGTTTGTACAGTTCTTCCGCCGTCCACCCGCTGGAATCAGTCTCATCCATCAGAATAAAGCTAGGCGCCATAAATCCTGGAATCGGCCCAGGACAAGCTTTCTGGACTGCAGCCTGAACAAGAGAGGTCTTCCGGTTCCATTCTTGAACATAATCTAGCTCTGAGTAGTTTCCAGATCTGTAGTTCTCAGACGCATAGTTCCATTCGTTGCCCAGCTCGTATAGCTCTAGCTGAGGACCAATTGACTGGCATGCCACAACGGCTGCTTCTGTAAGCTGCGCCATGGAGCTATTTTGGTTCATGTTTAAGCCATGGAAGAAATGTATATTGCCTAGTGTGTGATATGATTCGAAGAATGCTGGGCCGTAGTTAATCTGGTCTGGCTGGTCGTCCGTCGGTTTCTCGAAGATGAGTTTAATACCCTCTTCTTGATCAGGAAAGTAATTTGCTTTATCCCTGAGCCCCAAATGAGTAAGCAAGAGTAAAATTGTGCTAGGTGTGTAGATTGGTTCTTACTGAGTAGTTCCTCCAACTCTCACTTTGGGAAGCACCCCTGTAATGCTTTTGAAGTTACCGAGCAAGTTTTTGGAGAATTTATTAGGATGCGACTGGTTTCCAGCATAATCAGGGAAAAAAGCAAATTCAATAGAAAATGATTGAAAGTCTCTCGAGACAGGGCTGCTATTTTCGAGTGGCTTTGGAACAGCAAGCGAGTTGATGTGGCAATGCACTTGGTCAAGAAGCAGGGCAAACCCCGCTAAGCTGAACGAACGCATTTTTTGTGATGGGTTCTCACTTTCATATCGAGCACTCACAAACAGTACCCTCTTATTTATATTTTGTTAATTTACGGCTATTCATCCACATCGGCTTTTGAACATCCAGAGTTGACCTTGCTTGGCTCGGCAAAACATCATGGAACTAGCCATTTGCATATCTTTTCCGCAGCCACATAGATCCATTCACTCCCTAGGAGTGGCTGTACTCATTTCAGTCGCTGGCAGTTGCCGAGCTTCAAATACCGTCCGCCAATAGAGTGCCTATAAGTACGGCATCATATGCACCACGTCAACCCAAATGCGGACTTCCCGACACCCTCCCGAGCACCTCCACATTACCCCACGATTTTACCCCACAAACTTCCGACTTTCGGCTTTTCCATGGCATTTGGAGCTATTGTAACTTTATTGATGTTAACTTCGAACGTAAATCAATGGCCCTTGTGTGGAAATGAAGAAGAGAAAATGTGGCTGTACTTATATCCACGTGCGGTGTTATGGCAATTATTGTTTCTGTGTATGGGGTGCCTATCCCTAGCCCCTATCCCCAGTCCCATGAATTTCTACACCCGTGTTGGCTAGGGCTGGATAGGGCGCACACAACATTATATGATAAACATGTGTTTAAGTAGCATCGCTGGTCTATCTTGAATAACCAGCGATTAGTTTGAATATCATCATACCCATTAAATCAGGCAAATCTTGCATTCTCCGCTTGTATTCTGCCTTACCACTAGCACCCACCACAGTGATCAACACTCTGTCTTTTGCGACTGGACATGATCTAGGCCAGTGAACAAAGAGAACCGTGTGTCGCAATTGATAGCCCATTAAAGCAGGGAAAGGATCGAATCGGTCCAATTAGGGCTTCGGTAATCGTCAGGGGTTTTTGTTTTGTTACAATTTGAGCTTCATTCCAGGCCATTTCAGTTAGTATCAACTTCAAATTCTTGTGTCATTCAAAAAAGAAATCTTCATTCATCGATCCATCTAGCCAGATTTGTAAATATTTGAAAGCATCAAGGTCCGTTTTCTCGACCGAGATCTCGACAGAAGGATCCTTGCCACTGATGGGTAACTTTCGTTTCGGTGACTCGCAATGACTCCCCAATATATTGACAGCTCTCAAAATCAACAAGAACGAACGAAAAGTCCTCTTGAAGCATGATAGTCCGGAATTTATATCGTTATGGACAACGCCAAGCTTATGAAGATGTTTGATAGCGGCCAGAATTTCACTGAGGTTCATGTTTTCTTTTACGAGCTTGCGCACAGTTGAAAAGAAAGCGACCCTGTTCAGACGTGGAGGACTCACAGCTCCCAGTAATGTGGAGTTATATCGTTTGAAGCATAGCCCAGAAACTCGTCCGTTGGTCTTTTGACAGCCGTAAAGGTTGCAATGTTAGGATGCGGGTTCTTGCGAAGAAGCTCGCACGGTTCAACTTCGCGAGTGATTTATTTTCAGAGATTCTCATTTGTACACGCAAGAAGACTTGTTGTTTTCACGTAAAGCGCTGACCAAGGGGAATCACCTTCGGGCGCCTATCCTCGGTCTGAATTCGCCCAATTTCCTGAAGGTTTTCTAGCGCCTTAGCTAATTACATTGATCGGTCCGTTTTCCTTAATATAATATGCCATCTTGCCAGGCAGAAACCTGGATATAGGAGAACTTTATTTTGCCATGAAGTTTTTGCAAGGCTCGCTGCGTTGCAAAACCTCCAATTCAACGTGAACTATCGGTTTGGGGAAGCTGCCTTGACGGAGACAGGGATTAGTTATCAGAATGAGAAGATAGAGGGGTATTGATGAATATACCCATGCTTCCTCCCATCAAATTATCTCGAGTCACGTAGTGAACTAGGCCAACCTGGGACGAGACGAAATTGTACGAGACAAATGATCTGCAATGCTTTTTCATCACAGTTGGCTGAGCTAATTAAAATAATAGTATCTCCTGGTGTTTTCCCCAAATGTTAAGCAGCCCGACTTTCTTCGATTAAATGACGCAGCATTTCCGCTGCAGCAACAGCAAACCCGGGATCGTTGATCTGTCGGTCATCTCGGACGATTGGAATGCCACTATCACGTAGCTCCTCTTCCAGGGTGGAGAAAAGTACCTCATCCACTTCAGGATCCCAAAATGCCTGACCAGGGACATCGATCATACTTACTCCACCCGTTGGGAGAATCACCTTTGTCCATTTCACCCCATCACCCCGAACATTCCTCGCAATAACCTTCCCAATTTCCGCACACTCCTCGCCAGTAGTCCTCATCAACGTCACAGTAGGATTATGGTGATGGAACAGCCTCTCGTTCCCCTTCAAAAATTCCCCAGGAACACTCTCTGGTGTCCCAAAATTAACCATATCACAAGCACCCACACTTACAACCCTCGGCACATCTCTCTTACTCGCAGCACACAACCTTTCCCCTCCAGCACTTAGAACCCCACCAACAACTTCATCACAGATCTCCGTCGTCGTCAAATCAAGCACAGCGTCCAAAACACCCTCACTCACTAACCTCTCCAAAGCCCGCCCGCCAGACCCCGTAGCATGAAACACATAAACCTCACACCCCTCCACTACCTCCTCAAGATACTCCCTCGCCCTCGTAACAGCAGGCGTCGTAACCCCAAACATAGAAATCCCAATCCTCACCCCTTCCACCTTCTCGTCCCCTTCCTCCTTCTTCTCAGAAACCCTTCGCTGATGAACATCCGCCATTCCCGCCACCGCCGCAGCTGCATTCTCCAAAACAGTCTCAAGTACCCGATTTCTCCCCGCAATATCAACAACACTATACATCATGCATATGTCCGTTTCCCCAATATATGGCCCCACATCCCCAGACGCCATAGTTGAAACCATCAACTTGGGAAACCCAACCGGTAGCGCGTCCCGCATGAGCGTTGTGGCTAGTGCAGTGCCGCAGGATCCTCCTATACCGAGAACGGCGTGGATACGATTTTCACGGTAGAGAGCCTGGACGGTTTCCGTAGCGTAGGGTATGAGGGCTTCTATGTAGGCTGAGCGGTCGAGCGTTGGGATTCTGTCTTTGTCCGAGGTGGAGGAGAGGATGATGGCATGGGGAACGTCAATTGAGGGGTCGGTTGCTGGGTTGCGGCCTATGTCCATTATTAGGACGTTGGTTTTTGGGGAGAGGCGGGATTTTGCGTAGAGGAGTTCGGGGAGCTTGGTGTCGCATGTTCCTAAGAGAAGGATTGTTGGGGTGGTCATTTTAATTGATATATATGGGGTGAGGGGGTGGGATAGGATATGTGTATTGGGGAGATGAGGCGGGGGGTGTAGTGAGGGGTTGTAACGTCATGCGTGGTGGTGGTGCAAATGCAGGTATACTCCATGGTGGGGCTTTGGGTGCGAGATGTGCACGAAAAATGAAGAGTCGTGTCCATAAGGACATATGAATTGAACGAATACAAGGCTTCTCAAGCCAAAGAATTACTTCCAAAGCGCTGTCTAGAAAAAATCTACGAAATGAAAACGAGGTATTCACAAGCGAGTTATACTCGACTTTGATTATTTCAACTGTGCAGCCAAGTAAGCAAGCACAGGACTAAGGTATCAAGAAAAGAAAAGGATCCCATCCGTACGCAGTGTTGAATGCAAGACCATCCCAGGTCGACCCACGCCAGTAAACAGAAAACAAGCACTTCTCCCCCATCCACCACGGAGGGAGCCACACTTTTATGCCGTTGAAGACAACCACTTTTGAGTTCAATGTTGATGAAGAACCCGGTAAATGCCAATCGTAACATCGTCGAATCATGTTGAAAATCTATATCTCAAGAAAAAAATCATAGAAATAGTGGACGCAATTGGAGGAAAAAAGGGTGGAGGATGCGCTTAGTAGCGGTAGATCTCGCTCTTGAAGGGACCGTTGACGTCAAGGCCGAGGTACTCAGCCTGGACAGAGGTCAGCTTGGTGAGCTTGGCGTTGACGTGGTCCAAGTGGCACAGGGCAACCTGCTCGTCAAGAGCCTTGGGGAGAACGTAGACACCAACATCCTTCTTGCCGCCCTCGCCGAACTCGATGTACTTGGCACCGAAAGCGGCATCCTCGGCCTTGAACAGAGCGATCTGGGCAAGGACCTGGTTGGAGAAGGAGCAGGACATGACGAAGGAGGAGTGACCGGTGGCACAGCCAAGGTTGACCAGACGGCCCTCAGCAAGCAGGATGATGTGCTTGCCGTTCAGGAGGTAGCGGTCAACCTGGGGCTTGATGTTCTGGACGGACTGAGAGTTGGCCTTGAGCCAGGCAACGTCGATCTCAATATCGAAGTGACCAATGTTGCAGACAATGGCGTCGTTGCGCATGGACTCGAAGTGACGGCCGACAAGGATGTCACGGCAGCCGGTGGTGGTAACGAAGATCTGACCGAGCTTGGCGGCCTCGTCCATAGTCTGGACCTCGAAACCCTGGACAGCGGCCTGGAGAGCGTTGATGGGGTCAACCTCAGTGACAATGACACGGGCACCCATGGAGTGGAGAGCCTGGGCACAACCCTTGCCGACATCACCGTAACCGGCGACGACACCGATCTTACCGGCGATCATGACATCGGTGGCACGCTTGATGCCGTCGATGAGGGACTCACGGCAACCGTACAGGTTGTCGAACTTGGACTTGGTAACGCAGTCGTTGACGTTGATGGCGGGAACCTTGAGCTTGTTCTCCTTCAGCATGCGGTACAGGTGGTGAACACCGGTGGTGGTCTCCTCAGAGACACCGAAGCAGTCATCGAGCATCTCGGGGTGCTTGGCATGGACGAGGGAGGTGAGGTCACCACCGTCATCGAGGATGAGGTTGAGCTTCTTGTTGTCCTTGAAGGCAAACAGCTGCTGCTCAAGGCACCACTGGTACTCCTCCTCGGTCTCACCCTTCCAGGCGAAAACGGGGACACCAGCGGCAGCGATGGCGGCGGCGGCGTGGTCCTGGGTGGAGAAGATGTTGCAGGAGGTCCAAGTAACCTCAGCACCGAGAGCAGTGAGGGTCTCGATAAGGACGGCAGTCTGGATGGCTGTGGATAGGTCAGCTTGGAGCTTCTTTGGCTGTGTTTTGGAAGCACATACTCATGTGAAGACAACCAGCAATGCGGGCACCAGCGAGGGGCTGGTCGGGGCCGTACTTCTCACGGATGGCCATGAGACCGGGCATCTCAATCTCGGAGAGCTCAATCTCCCGGCGACCGAAGGCAGCCAGGGACTGTTGACAAGGTATTGTTAGGCATTGGGACCAGAAAGAGTAAGACGAGGGATACGTACGATGTCAGCGACCTTGCACTTTTGAGCGGGGGCAGCCATGATGTATGGATGTGATTAGAATGCTGAAGGAAGATTGTCAGAATTGAATGAACATAAGGAATGAAATTGAGGGGGGTCGTACGAATAAATAAGAGGATGGAGTTGGGGATGAGAGAGGGAGAAAGGAAAAGAAGAAAAGGAGGGAGGTGCAGATCCAGAGGAGGGGAACCATGGAAAACTCTCTGCGGTTACTAAAGGGGACTGTCATGTAGCGGTACACGTGTCTGTGTGTCAACTACCATAATTAACAAAGTACTGGTACCTATGAATCATCCCACCGCTGATAGCGGGGTCCTCAATCACGTGCCCGATAGCGGCACTCCTTTGCCCCGTTGGTGCCGAACGGTCCTAATCCACTCGTACTCAATATTTGATGCATGTGCTGGCAAAAAAAGAGGGTCATTATTCATAGTACATCGTGGCCTCTAAAGGCAAAGAATGGCCGTGGCTCCATAGCCCCAGAACTCGACAGAAAACAATCGAATCGCTCGTATGCTGACCCAGACCTCTGTGTAGAAACGGAGAAACGTTAAGGAGTAAAAATGACACGAAAATGAGAAAAAGAAAGAAAAGAAAGAAAAGCAGTAATTGGGGCTAAAGCACAAGGCATTCCATTCCCTCATCAATCCATAATTCATCACACGTCCGACGCAAGAAAGTACACTAGTAGGCGATCTGCGGCGCATCTGAGGTGGCTCCATACGGATTGCCATCGTGATAGGAGACACCGTTGTGAGCCGGAGAATCAGGGTATTCAATTTCATCCGGCCATCGATTTCGGCCAGGCCCATGGCCTTGACTGCGAGACCGACGCTGCTCACGCTTGACAGCCCGCTCGGCGCACTCATGCTTGAAGTGGCTGTTTTCTTTGCGTTTCTCATTGACCTCCTTCCACTCCCCATAGGCACCCTTGATACCGAGAGCCGCGAGACCCACCGCGAAGGCATCCATGGTATTCGCTTTCATGCGACGTTTGCGAGCCTCCTCAGCTGTAATCTTTCCCTCTTCCAGTTCCTTCATCCGCACTTTCCTCTTCTGCACGCCACCGTACACTCCATGGGCTGCGTGGATGGTCGCAACGGTAGCCAGACCAGAGGTTAGTAGCATATCACGCTTCAGCTTCTTCGATTTCTTCTTCTCATCAGAACTATCACCTAAGTCAGAATCACTCTCGGAGCAGTCGCACCCTTCATCGGCGGATCGAGCGCGTGTGCCGTACGCGCCGCGTGGTGCGCTGGTGGGTGCTTGGGGGTTTGAATTTCGACCGTTCACAGAACGATATGAACCTACATCTCTCGAACCTTTGCCTCGTCTGTCCCTGGATGCCCTGCTGCGATAGTCACTTTCTGCGTCCGAGTCGGAATACTCGTCGTACCGCGGGTCACGACGAGAACGCCGCTCCCCACGGCGATCATAGTCACGATCGCCACGGTCTCTGCTCCGCTCACGCTCTTTGCCTTCTTCTCCGATGCCCAGGGCGGCCATGCCCTTGTTGATGTAGTCTGAGACACTCTTGCTGCGTTTCTTGGACCCCCGGCGGTCATCGTCACTGTCGTCAGACCCGCGGCCGCGAGGCCGGGATCGCGAACGCGACACCCGATCAAATATCTCTTTACCGGCAGCGGCCAAAGCGCCCGTTGCGGCGAGATCTTTCAGAGCGCCACCGGACGAACGACTGCGGCCATTACTACCACGACCGCGGGACTGGGATCGTCCCCCGTTGACGAAGTGGGATGTAGCAAGACCTGCAAGGGTAGATTCGATGACATGACGGGTTCCGTGCTTTTTGGGATCTTTGTCGACCAGACCATCGGTGCCAGCAGCAGTGACAGCAGCGGTGAGAATGCGCTTTCCTTTGTCACCGGTCCACGCGCCGGGTTCTTTGCGGGAGCGAAAGGCTTCCACAGCACCAGCTGTAAGCGCGGCGCGTGCTGCCTGTTGCATACGCTGTTCACTGCGCTGGCGGTTCCGACCAGAGCGAGCGCCTCGATCACGGCTGCGAGATCGAGATCGCGAAGACGAATAAGATGATCGGCCACCGTGGCGGGAGGAAGAACGGCGACGGCCACGGGGATCTCGGTCGCGGTCTGAGCGTCTGGAGGATGAAGCAGCGGCACCGAGGCCAAAGGCACCAAGAGCAGTCTCGCCTAGAGACTTGCGGCGTCTGTTACGCGATGGAGAAGGGCTGGTAGAAGAAGCAGAGTCGTATCTGGAGCGACGAGGACCTGCGGGGGTTGTGTCAACAAAAGGGTGATCCCACACACTACACGCCAAGAAGGGCAAAACTCACGGCGATCGTCATAATTCCTGGACTGTCTCGGACGAGAGTAATAAGGATCGTAGCCACTGACCGACGACGACCGTCGTATGTTTTCATAAACGGGGCGTCGCGATCGCCTGGAGTCATAGCCGCGCTCGTAGACATAGTCCGAACCCGGGGGATACTCGCGCTGGATTTCCTCGACAGAGTCGTTGGTTGCGCGAGGATAGGTTTCTCTTTCGTAGCGCGAGTAGCCCCGCGGATGGTCATCGTAATAGTCTGCAGCGTAACCGGAGGCTGGGCGACGGTCGCGCGCGTAGCGACGATCCTCGTAGTATGCCATGAGGAAGGATAGAAAAGTAATACAAGAATGAAGTCGTAAGTGAGAACTTTCTACCGTTCACTGGGAATAGTTGTTGAAGGACAAAAAAGAAGAGTCAGGTCTTCAGCCTTTCAGCGGGGCAGGGCAAAGTGGCGTGACGTCGATTAAGGTGCAGGGATCAACTGGGGCTAGTCACTTGGCTGTGGCTAATCACTTGGCTGTGGCTAAGAGATTTCGGTTTCACAGATGAAATTCCACCCATGTTGTGGTGAGACGAGTTAAGTAACATCGGGGAAAATGTTCAGGGGCTGCCACCTCATATATCTAGTCTTGCCGATGACGTCTAGCGACATGGCATGGAGATGTTCGGCCAATGACTAGGGCAGTCGCTCGGATTGAACGCCGAGTACTGTATCAGACACTAGCGCCCGACGTCATCCTGCAGAGGACCGTGGCTGGGCCATCAAGGAAACTGACATCCCTTACCACTAGAGTATTCCTTCACCGCTCATTACTCCTTCCAGATCTAAATGCTCCAGGTGTGTGTTCACAGGTGTCTGTTCACAGGTTTACATGTGTACAGGGGGTGAATACGGGAGTATAGATCCGTCCTCGTTCCACGGGTCAAGCCCTCGGCCGGCCCCGCGATTCCGTAGGATTCCTTTCTCTACGATTCATTGGCACATCGACGTTGCTTGGTGCATCCAGAACTGGTCACACATAATCATTCCTTTCTTTCATGGTAATCCCTGCAAAGTACTATACATGAGTACATGGCAACACTTTCCCCTTCCATGTCGGGATTGCGCCAACCTTCGCACATAACACAGCTCGAAAATTTCAGATGCAAATGGTACATGGGGAGTATACAATAGAAAAGCAATCACAATGGTATCGAAGAAAGAAGCTTTCATAGAACATATGCTGGGCTTGGGCTTGGGCCTGGACCTCTCGTCGGACCGCCTGTGGATCCGGAAGGGTGGGCCATGCTGGGACGTCCGCGGGTGTAAAATGTAGGTCTGGTTATGGAATATCGCAATGGAACTCCTTGACTGAGAAATGCGCTAGAGGTCGGAGTTTTGAATCACACTGCGCAGCAGTGGTCGAAAGACATGGTCGTTAGAGAGGCGGATCGAATCCGTGTGCGAGTTTAGCGAGAGAGTAGTTGGATGGTAGGGTGGTCTCTTTTGACCATCCTGGCGGAGTAATTTGTTCATGAGGGATGATGCGGTCCACTGCCCGGAGGAGGCATGACACTCGCATCTGTGGACTGGCTGACAGTCCGGCTGTGTGTGGTAGACGCATAATTAGAGTCACCTCGGCTCATCGCCCATCTGCCGTCTGTCTCCGGTTCGGAAGTCGACCGCATGTCGTCAGAATGTGTGCGATGAGTGCGAATGTGCTGCTTCATATTGTCCTTTCGAGTGAATGCCTTGTTGCAGATAGGGCAATGCACACTCTTCTCGCCAGTGTGCTTCTTGCCATGGCGGGCGGCATGACCTGAAGTGGTGAATGTAGCGGAGCATCCGTGACTGGCGGCATAAGGGCACGGATACTTGTTCTTTCGTCCGGTACCCCGGGTACCTCCCGGCTGCGATTTCGTTTCTTGGCTGCTGGAAGGAATCTCGGGGGGTGTTCTAGGCGCCGCGGGCCCGCGCGAGGGATATCGTGAGTTGTATTGATGGTCCTGCCGGGCGTACGGGTGATAGCCTGAAGTTGATTGATTCGTCAGGTAGTCATAAACGGAGCCTTCTGAAGATCCCGGCGAGGTGGGCTGGACGGTTTCGGTCACCGGTTCCAATGGATGCCGGGTGCTTTGCGGCGAGGCCATGGGCGACACAGACGATGCATGCGGGCGGGCGTACTGGGAGTCGCTGACAGACGGGGCAAGCTGCTGGTCTGATGGGTAGAATGATGCCTGATTTCGACTAAGTCTGGGGTTGGACCGGACAGCAAACGACGGATGATCGTCATTGTTTAGGATCGATACAATGCTCGTCCTACCACTTGACATTTCCTCTGAACCCCAGTGAGTAGTCACCGTAGTGGGAAAGTTATACTGAACGGAGGGACGGAAGTCAGCACGTTGATCTGGGGTTTGATGTAGGAAGTCCTCTCGGCCTGAACGCTCGAGATGACTCGAGGGGATCAAGATATGCCAACGAGGCCGTTTGGTGGGAAGAGTCAGGGCAGAGAGAAGGGGAAGGAAGAGGCTCTGGTGTCTCCGGAGGCAACAAACGCACCAGTTCTCGAAATATGTTTGTCTTTTGCGTCGTACAACACGTCGACAACATTAGGTCCTGAGACGGCGCTTGCCTGCAGACCTGCCAGAAAGCCCGATGACTCGAGCTACAGTTCCCGTTCTTTCGAAGAATGGAAGGCGATACGAAATTTGATGGGATGAAACCGCGATCTCTCGCAAGATATTCGAACAGTTCCGTTCCCGTGATGGTTGACGATGGTGCTGACAATGGCGATGCCCCTTTTCACACTATTGAACTTTCGATTTCTTTCTCCACCAATTTGACGTGGGGAACACAATCCTAACGGCAGTTGCGAAATGGCCTGTGGATATTGCAGGGGGGTTCAGAATTCAACACCGGTGCTCAGTCTGCCGAACAGAAGCCGTTCTCTCAAAGATGCGCTACACGCGAGGACGCAGTTGAAGATTAAAATAATAGGGCCTGCTAGAGACAGGAGTTCGAGAGCAAGTTAGGGTCAGTGGGTGGTTCGAGAGCCGATAGGGAGATAAGAAAGTTGATCGTGGGGGGGAGGGGGCAAAGAAGAAGGCGTGACAGACGACCAAAGCTAAGGAGGGGATGTCGGGTATCAAAAGTAGATCAAAAGAATACAAGAGCAAGAAATACAGTTTGTGGATGGGAATGGAAGAGGAAGAGAAAAGAACGAGAACCAAGAAAAAAAAAAAAGGATATCTCAGGAAGTGCCAATACTAAATATGCGAAGCCAAGCTTCCAGGGTCTGTACCGCGAGGCTCCCCAGAAGCTCCATGTATTTACATTCAATACCGAAGCCGCTATCGCACTCGCAGGTCGTTAACGGTGGAGCATAGCGGATCACGAATCCCCGTTCAGGGCGTATACGGAGTTAAAAGCGAGAGAGAAAAAAAAAATAAAAAAAATCATAAAAATAAAAATAAAAACATGTCAGGTATTGCCCCTAGAAGAGTGGCACCGATACTTTTGTCGTAATCAATCAGAGAAGGAGAGAGGACCCCTACCCACCCCTGGAAACTACGGCGGTTTCTGTGCAGACGAAGACCCGTTTCTGGGCTCCGTTTCTTCCGGCCCGCCCCATCACGACCCTGGCGGGGACAGACTCGTCAGCAAGATCTGTTCTGGCGCGTAATTTATTTTCCTTGGCTTATCATATTCATCGCCTTTTTTTAATTCGTTCCTCGGTGTGGCTGTCCCCTTGTCTATGGTTTGCTCTCTACGTAGAAATCCGACTCCGCTCATATTACCAATAGAACTAGGGCTTCGGCTGGCCCAAGCGAAGTCTGCACTGGTAGCTCCACCCGGACAATGCAAGCTTGTCGGTAGAACTACGGGCAAAAGAGAGAAAGAAAAAAAAAGAAGAGTTCGGGTCAACCATCCAAAATGCTCGATTTCCTGATCCATGGACCCTGGGAATGATAACTAATCGGCGCTGGGACGCCGAGTCCGGATTTTCCGGTCGCTCGGGCAATCCTTTACCCACTTGACAATTGTTCAAAAATTGAAAATTGAAAAGACGGTATTGTACTACGTACCGGGCTATTGGCGGGCACTCCCAAAGATCTGAAGCTATTAAGAGACGCCTGGGCTAGGCATTTCAAGGCTGGGCGAGCCGCTGGAGTCCGGGGACATACGTAAGGCGATGATGTTGCGCTTTGTGTCCTGTCTCGTTTGGGAACTAAGCTCCGGCTCCGAGATTTCGTGCGGTGGAAACAAGCGTATCTTTCATGATCCTCCTGCCGTCCTAATTTCCTTGGTATTGGCTTTTACTGCAGGGCCCTGTAAATCCGATCGTCGTAGGGCGGTAATTTTATTTTCTTCTTTACAATGAACTCATGCCAGAACCTTAATTGAGTCTTTGCCTTTGGACGTCCTCTCTCACAACGTTGCCCTTGCCTCCCGATCTACGCAGCGTATCTTCAAACGACATTCTACACGGAGGGTATGTAGGAAGCCTTGTAATTTCGTCGCAGTCCCCGCAGTAAAATAGCATACGTACTCGGAAGTCATAGTAAAGATAAGGATAGACTAGCATCATCTACACCACTAAAATCAAAAAGCGCCTAGGGTTCAGGGGAGCCATGGCTTGTACGAGCCTTCGTACTCGTAACGCGTCCAGTGCCGCCCCGCCCCGGGGACCATTTGCGCGGGGACTCTCCGCTCAGCGTACGTAAGACAGCGACGTATGAATCGTGATCATCTCGACGGTTACTCTGCGCTTTCAATAGGAGCTCCAGCTGTCTGGCATCTGCCACTAGCTATCCCTATTGTGAAACCCTGACATCAATCGTCTTTTTATCGCGTGAATACGCCATCACCTCATCCTTGCCCACTTTTAATTTTCACCACCCTGCGACCCAGGCCTAGCCACTAAGCCCCTCGAGCGTCAGCCATAAGCCTACATGCACACATGGTGAATGCCGATCAGCCAAGCTTCTGTAAACCGATCTCGACCTTTTAATGTAGAGCAAAACAATTTGGAATAAAATTAAAATAAAAAGGTGGTTCGTGCGTCGAAGCCGACCGTTTGGGGTGTCTCAAGCCGAGCGATGATTTGCTCGGCGTGAAGCTATGAACGGGGCATACGTACGCAGACTACGTATATCCACAAGCTGGGCTGACCAGCCCATCCCGATCTAGCACTGATACCTCCGCGTTCACGATAACTAGCACACTCAAGTCCTAGCTTCTTCGCACGACGACCATGATTCGTACGTCCAAGCCCTGGGAACATTACGCCACATGATTGACTTGTCAGGGTTCCTAGTGCCGTCCGTGTGCCACCTTCCTAGACCCTTGTTTATAGATTTTCCAGCTCGGATTCTTTCCTTTGCC